GTTCATTTTGCTTATCCTGGCCTTGTCCCTGTCTAAAAATTCTATGTTGGGGAGGGGAAGATAATTTTCTTTTTCTTTTTTTTTTGAGATGGAGTCTCACTTTGTTGCCCTCAGTAGAGTGCTATGGTGTCATAGCTCACAGCAACCTGAAACTCTCGGGATCAAGTGATCCTCTTGCATCAACCTCCCAAGTAGCTGGGACTACAGGTGCCTGCCACAATGCCTGGCTATTTTTAGAGACTGGGTCTTGCTCTTGCTCAGGCTGGTCTCGAACTTGTGAGCTCAGGCAATCCACCCACCTCACCCTCCCAAGTGCTAGGATAACAGGCGCGAGCCACCACACCCGGTGAAGGTGATTTTCTTTCTCTTTTTTTGAAATACCGTCTTAGCTATCACCCTGGGTAGAGTGCCATGGTATCACAGCTGACAGCAATCTCAAACTCTTGGGCTTAAATGATTCTATTGCTTTAGCCTCCCAAGTCGCTGGGACTACAAGCACCTGTCACAATGCCTGGCTGTTTTTTTCTTGCAATTGTCATTGTTGTTTAGCTGGCCAGGGCCAGGTTTGAACCTGCCAGCCTGGGTGCATGTGGCCGGCGCTGTAACCACTGCACTACGGGTGCTGAGCCACGCCTGGCTATTTTTTTTGTTGCAATTGTCATTGTTGTTTTAGCTGGCCCAGGTCAGGTTCGAACCCACCAGCCTGTTTATGTGGCTGCTGCTCTACCCACTGAGTTCAGGCACCACTGAAGATAATTTTCTTTTCTTATTCAGAGACAGGGTCTCACTTTATCGCCCTCAGCATCACAGCTCATGGTAACCTCCAACTCCTTGGCTTAGGCAATTCTCTTGCCTCAGCCTCCTGAGTAGCTGGACTATAGGCACCCACCACAACACCTGGTTATTTTTTGTTGTTGTTGTTACAGTTAGGCTGGGGTCGGGTTTGAACCTGTCACCCTTGGTATATGGGGCCAACGCCCTACCCACTGAGCCATAGGTGCTGCCCTAATTTTCTTGATAGTTTACAGGCCTCTGGCTCAAGGGGCATCTCATGCACATCCACAACAAATGAAAACCATGAGACCATGCCCTTGAACCTAAAAACAGGAAATGGAAGGGACTTTTGGATGCTCTAAGGGGCAGGGCCATATGTTACAAGAGAAGGAAAGTGAACAGCGTGGCTAAAGAGTGGCCTGTAATAAACTAATGGTCATATGCACATACTGGGCTCAGTCGTGGACGCCTGTAATCCCAGCTATTTGGGAAGCTCAAGTGGGAGGATTACCTGAGCCCAAGAGTTTGAGCTTGCTCCTGGGGCAAAAGAGTGAGGCTGTCTTTAAAGTAAAAGAACCCTCAACGATCTGTGCTCCTAATCCTCTGTGTGACCTGTGCTCTCAGCTCCTCCTGCATTGCTGGCTGATGTTCTGGGACCTTGAGCTGTGCTGTTCTTCATTCTTTGTACAGAATGCCGGCAGCTGCTTTTACTCTGGAGATTCGTGTCTCCCAGCTCTGGGGTAAAATCGTTTCTCTAAATCTCATTCCCACCATTTTTTGATTTCTTTCCCCCACCAGAACTACTGTTAGTCTCAATATTTGTATCCCATCATCCATCTTTTTGTCTTTTCTTTTAAAACAATTGGCTACAAATGGGGAGGGTGCTACCATCCCTTTCTCAGGTTCCATAATTTTCTGTGACAGCTCACAGAACTCTGTGAGAACTGGAGAACTCTTTATATATGTTTACCAGTTTATTATGAAGAATATTAAAAGAGGGAAGTGCCTGTGGCTCAAAAGAGTAGGGTCCCAGCCCCACATACCGGAGGTGGTGGGTTCAAACCTGGCCCTGGCCAAAAACTGAAAAAAAAAAAAAAAATTAAAAGATATAAGTGAACGGCCAGATAGAGGTATGGAGGGCACAGCATGGGGGAGGGGTGCAGAGCTCCCGTGCCCTCTGGGTGCCACCTTCCAAGCATGCCATGTTCACCAATCCAGATGCTCTCCGACCCCCTTCACCGTGGTATTTTTTTTTTAGACAGAGTTTCACTATGTTGCCCTCAGTAGAGTGCTGTAGCATCACAGCTCACAGCAACCTCAAACTCTTGGGCTTAAGTGATTCTCTTGCCTCCACCTCCCAGGTAGCTGGGACTATAGTCAGTGCCATAACACCTGGCTTTTTTTTTTTTTTGCAGTTTGGCTGGGGCCAGTTTTGAACCTGCCACTTCTGGTATATGGGGCCGGCACCCTACTCCTTTAAGCCACAGGCGCCGTCTCTGGATAATTTTTTGTTATTGTTGTCATTGTTGTTTAGCAGGCCTGAGCTGTGTTCGAACCCACCAGCCCTGGGTGTATGTGGCCTGCGCCCTAACCACTGAGCTATGGGTGCTGAGCCATTGAGGGATTTTTTTGAGGTTTCATTATGTAAACATGACTGATGAAGCCATTAGCCATTGGTGATTAACTCAATCTCTAGCCCCTCTCCTCTGAACTTGGTCGGTAGGGATGAAAGTTCCAACACTGTAATCCTGCTGTGGTCTTCCTAAAGACCAGCTTTCATCCTGAAGTTATCTAGGGCCCCCCGGCCATGGTGGTCTCAGTGGCAGATAAATGACACTCTATCACTCACTCCCAAGATTCCATGGGTCTAAGAAGCTCTTGTCTCAGGAACTGGGAACCAAGACCAACTATTAGGACAAAAGATGGTTTAGGCTCTGTGCCCATAGCTCAGAGGCTAGGGCGCTAGCCACATACACCAAGGCTGATGGGTTGGAACCTGGCCTGGGGCCTGCTAAACAACGACAACTGCAACAACAAAAAAATAGCCGGGCATTGTGGCAGGCGCCTGTACTTCCAGCTACTTGGGAGGCTGAGGCAAGAGAATCGTTTAAGCCCAAGAGTTTGAGGTTGCTGTGAGCTGTGATGCCACAGTACTTTACTGAGGGTGACATAGTGAGACTCTGTCTTAAAAAAAACAAAAACAAACAGATGGTCCAATCACATGTATCATTCAGGAGGTCATAGGGGTTTTAGGAGCTCTGTGGGAGAGATCAAATATAAATGTATGATGTCATCCTGTCAGGTTTTGAGGTGAAAATATTAGATTGTAAGCAGTAAGCTCTAACAGACCATTGTTTTATACAATTATTGTCTTATCTCTCCAACTACAGATTGTAAGGTCGTATGGGTAGGAAACATTTCTTATACTCTTTTGCACGACATTTAATCCATTTGTTCATTAAACATTTTGAGGAGCAGCTTGGAAATCACCTCCTCTGGGAGCTCTCCCCAATTTCCTCCCTTGTCCCAGTTGCCCTGCTGACTGCTCTCTCCCGTGCTGCCCATTCCTGCACACACCACCAGGCACGACGGCGACAACCATGATGACCCCTTCACTTGGGGGCAGACATCACAGTGGATTTGTGTCTCCTAGAACGCTGACCAAGTAGCAGACAAGTAGGTTACTAGGAACACTGACTGAAAGTATTATATGAATATTTTCCAGCACCACCATTAAGAGCTGAGGAGAATTCCCCATGTGGCTCACTCTGAAGCGGTGTGAAAACAACTCTCCCAACCAAGTCGTGGGTGTCCTCTCAGTCTGGCCCCCACATGGTTCCCTTGTTCTTGTGGAGTGCCGGGGCTGCGCCGGGGCTGTGGTGCAGTGATCAAGCTACAAGAAGCACACATTTTGCTGGAGACACACAGAGGCAGGTGGCTGTGATGCAAGGTGGGAGGTGACTCCTGACTTTTAAAACAGCTATGGAACCAAAACAAGGCAAAAACCCTGAAACATGGATAAATCTCAAAAACATGAAGCAGGAGAAAGTAGTCAGACATGAATCTATTCTGTTTATATAAAGTTCTAGAGCAAGCAAAATGGATTACAGTAACAGGAATAGCAGTGGTTGTCTCTGAGGATGGGGGAGTGACGGTAACAGCCCCGATGGCGAGGTGGCTAGAAAGGTCAAAGCAGGCTGTTTGTCACGTCCTAACTGAACACTTCACAAGCACACATTTCATCCATGTAAATTATGCCTCAGGGAACTCCCCCCACCCAGTGCTGTGGAACGAAAGCTCTCACTACCCGGCCTAGCAGCCTTGCACGCTTGCTGGGGGCCAGCATGCTGCCCAAGGCACCGTGTACTCAACAGGCAGCCAGGCCCAGAGCTGGACCTGAAATCTCCCTTCCTTTGGGAAACCTGCTCTCCCTACCTACTTGTCCCTTCTGAGACTCCTTCTTCTTCTGACTGCTCCTGAGCAGGGTGGAGACAGATTTGAGGTTCTCACAGAGGCAAGAATTTAAACCACCAGGACAGCTTTACTGGCCCTTTGCTGACTTCCCTTTCACTATCTTACTCTGTAAAAAGTAAGCCTTTTCTTTCTTTTCCTCAGTAAGCTGTTTCATGCTTGCCTTACTTTGCGGTATCTGGTCACTTTTTGACCAAGCGTGCTCTAAGGACAGAGGACCCAGGCCTGCCTGAAACCCTGACACACAGAGAGGCACCTTGAAATGTACCATTTTGGGTGCTGTCACAGGGTAAGCCAGGGAGAATTCTGCCAGATAACCAGTTTGATCTGGACACCCTGAAGAAAGACTCTTCTTCTGCATGACTGTCTGGTCACAGTATAAGCTGGACAGCAGAGAACAGTGGGTGCCACATGGGACTCTAAATCATCTTACAATCAGACCTCATTTGTTAAAAGGAATATGGGCCCACATATCCACTTTCTATACAACAAATAATCCCAAACTTAGACTTAACAGAAGCAGCATTTATGTGGTCACAATAGTACAGAGCAGCAGCCTGGTCGGACACAAGCTTCCGCGGCTGCATCATGAGGCTGGTGTGTTAGCAAGAGTGGAATCCTCAAGGCTATTTTCCTTCTTGATATGTAATTCATGCAGTCTCACTTCTATTTTATTATTTAAAAATTTTAAAATACCATGTATTTATTTAACTGACAAATAAATACAGTATATATTAAAGACAAAAAGACAGCTTTATTGCTTCCGTGCTGCGAGGCCGGGTACAGACCTCTCCCACCCTTGGCCACAACCCAGCAGCTGGGCTCACTCCGGGCTGTGCACCCGCCGGTGCTGGATCAGGTGGAAGCTGAGGCGGAAGGCCTTGCCACACGCGGTGCAGCGGAAGGGCTTCTCGCCCGTGTGGATCCTCTGATGCCGGAAAAAGCCCGACAGGGCCCGGAAGGCGCGGCCGCAGTGGCTGCACTGGTAGGGTCGCTCTCCTGTGTGGATCCTGCGGTGCTCGCTGAGGAAGGAGCTGCGGCTGAAGGCGCGGCCGCAGTCGCCGCAGGTGTAGGGCCGCTCCCCAGTGTGCACTCTCTGATGCTGGATGAGGTTGGAGCTCTGGCCAAAGGCCTTCCCACACTCCTTGCACTCATAGGGGTTCTCCCCGTGGTGAATCCTCTGGTGCCGGACCACGTTGGAGCTGTGGACAAAGGTCTTCCCACACTCGCCACAAGCGTACAGCCGCTCCCCGGTGTGTGCTCTCTGGTGCTTGACTGCGTCTGACCTCTGGCTGAAGGACTTGCCACATTCACCACATTGGTAAGGCTTTTCTCCTGTGTGAACCCTCTGGTGTCGAATGAGGTTGAAGCTCTGGCTGAAGGCCTTCCCGCACTCCGTACACACATAGGGCTTCTCCCCACTGTGGACCCTCTGGTGCCTGACAACGTGCGAGCTATGGATGAAGGCCCTCCCACAGTCACTGCACTCAAACGGCTTGCCCCCAGAGTGGATGCTCTGGTGTTTGACCACATCTGAGTAGCACTTGAAACTCCGGTTGCAGGTGTCACACAGATAGGGCCGCCCTGTCCAGTGGCTTCTTCCCTCTGCCGCAGAGCCTGTGTTCAGAGTGACATCTGGCTTGGGTACACAGTTCTCAGGGTCATTCTGCCCTCCAGTTTCCTCACAAATGACCAGGGTCCAAGAGGCATCTCCAGGTGTCTCCCCAGCATCCTTGTTTTTGCCAAGGTCAAGAGATTCCAGTGCTCTGGGAGGCCCCTGTTCTGGGCCTGGCCTGGCCTCCCCGTACCACTCTCCTTCTGAAGCTTCCTGCTTTGGTGTCAACCCTGTGCTCTCAGCCGTGTGCCCAAGAGCCGAGGCACACTTGGCAGCCTGGCTGGCCCTCGAGGCTTGTGCTGAAATAGCGGTTCTCATAGCTGAAAAGAGGTCAGATATGGATGACTTTAGGTATAAGAACACTCCATTACATGATAAAAGCTGTGTGTGAGTCTAAGAGGGCAATGGTGGTCAATGATCATGACGAGTGATGGCCATGGAGACAGTGTGCAGTGGCCACCTGGTACTTTGTCTGCCTGGTTCCTGCCCAGCTTCCCTCCTGCTTCCTAATACCCATGGTCACAGGAGCCCTCCAGGGGCTGGAGGAGGGCTAAGCCTCCAGCCTTTGCTTCTTCAGCCCAGGAAGAGGGGTCAGAGCACAGGACCTGGCACTGCCTTGTTCACAAGCTGGCCTGGAACACATGGGACTGGCTGGCAACAAAACAGTGAAAATGAAGCAGATGAACCAGGAGGCACAGGGGCTGAAGCACCCTGAAGGCACGTATGCCCTCGTCCCAGCTTCTTTCTCCAACTCTGGCTTTCCTGAGACAACACTGCATCCTTCACAGCTCCCCCAACCTGCCAAGCTTCTGTTATGTGCAAATAAGCAAGTCCTCACTGAGACAGAAGCTAGCACCAAGAAAGCAGTAAGCAGCAGCCCACTGGGGGACAACAGTGCTGGTTGGCTGAGTGGCCTTCCTTGTCCTGGCTGAGGGCTGACAGCCCTTGTTTTTTTTAGAGACAGAGTCTCACTTTGTCACCCTTGGTAGAGTGCTGTAGTGTCACAGCTCACAGCAACCTCCAACTCTTGGGCTTAGGCAATGCTCTTGCCTCAGCCTCCTGAGTAGCTGGGACAACAGGCGCTCATAACCTGGCTAGTTTTTTGCTGCAGTTTGGCCTGGGTGCGTGTTCAAACCTACCACCCTCTGTCTATGAGGCTGGCACCCTACTCACTGAGCCACAGGCACCACCAAATAGCCCTTGTTTTTGGACAATAAAGCAGCTTGTTAAATTTGGTCCCATCAGTTCATAGGGATGGACTGTGTGGCCACCTAGACAGAAGCTTTAGGGAGGTGATGGCAAATACTAGGGTATCAGAATGCTGGCTGGTACCGTGTTTCCCCCCCAATTAAGACCTACCCCCCAAATAAGCCCTAACAGGATTTCCAGGCATTTGTTAAATATAAGCCTTACCCGGATAATAAGACCTAGTGACGGTTAGCTGCATAGCCACACCATGCATTTCAGCACAGAGAGGAAGACATCCCCTGGAAATAAGTCCTAGTGTGTCTTCTTGAGAAAAAATAAATATAAGACAGTGTCTTATTTTTGGAGAAACATGGTATCACAGCCTTCATGAGAGACAGGGATGCTCAACAGGAAGTGGTCCAGTAGAGGCTGAGGACTCCCAGCCTGCTCTGGGAAACTATTGCCCACAGTCATCTGCAGCAGCTGAGCTGCAGCCATTAGATTCCTCATTATATCCCCTTAAGAATTTAGACTGCACAGGTATGACGGATATGCTGTGTGGGTGCACTGGGGGCAGGGACACCACCCCAGGGTAGAGGAGGGTAGCAGGCTACCACCCATGTCTCTCCCTACTCTACCCATTAAACTGAGCAGTGGCAGGTGGGAGAGGCCTCAGCGTGGTGCCCAGAAGCCCCTTTGTGGAGCCCACCCTGGCCTTGTGGTTTGGCAGACTTAGCTTCAAAAAGCTGACTCAGGGCAGCACCTGTGGCTTAAGGAGTAGGGTGCTGGCCCCATATACTGGAGGTGGCGCATTCAAACTCGGCCCTGGTCAAAAACTGCAAAAAAAAAAAAAAAAAAGCTGACTCAAGGCTTGGCTTCTGTAGCATAGTAGTTATAGCACCGGCCACATACACTGAGGGTGGTGGGTTCAAACCCAGCCCGGGCCAGGTAAATAACTGCAACAGAAAAATAGCTGGACATTGTGGCAGGTGCCTGTAGCCCCAGCTACTTGGGAGGCTGAGGCAAGAGAATTGCCTAAGCCAGGCGTTCTCAAACTATGGCCCGTGGGCCACATGTGGCCTGCTGAGGACATTTATCCAGCCCGCCAGGTGTTTTTGCTGTGGCTGCCTGTACTGTTTAGCAGCCAACTCATCCCGGGGCCCGTAGTCTGGCCCTACAACAGTCTGAGGGATGGTGAACTGGCTCCCTGTTTAAAAAGTTTGAGGACCCCTGGCTAAGCCCAAGAGTTGGAGGTTGCTGTGAGCTGTGACGCCACAGCACTCTACCAAGGGTGACAAAGTGAGACTCTGTCTCAAAACAAAACAAAACAAACAAAAACTGACTCAAAGGTCTTTAGTCAAAAGCACAGTGAGACAAGGACCACACACTATCCCTTGAGCTCTCCTGGATCAAGCCTTCAGGTCCCGAGGACCATGTCCCTCCTAAAGCAACAGAGGACCAACAGACCGCCCCAAGGGGTGGGCTCTGCCCTGGTGACACACTCTCAGGGTGGACCCCAGAGGCCTCAAGCACAAAGCAGCGTTCTCTTGGGGGTCCGTTCCCTCCAAAGGGCATATCTGACCATGTCTGGAGATATTTCTGGCTATCACACCTGGCCGTGGTACTGCTGGCACCTGGGGGCAGAGGTCAGGGATGCTGCTGAATGCTCTGCTGTGCACAAGGCAGCCCCTCAACAAAAGTCATCACCCCAATGTCCGTGGAGCCAAGGCTGATAGACCCTGTGTGAGAGAAATGTCCCCAGACACAGATCCTGGGTTTGTTGGACTTCACCGAAGAAGTGCAGTGAATTGCCACCAAACAGATGCTCTCAAGGTCCAAGGGAGCTGCTGTTCAGCCCACTCTCTCCACCTGCTTCTGAGGCCCAGTACATGCTCTGTGACAGCAGTCAAGGTGGTTCTTCTCAAACTGGGTGGTTTTATTGTGATTAACCTGTTTCTGCCACTCTGTGTGGGTACGTGCTTGCCAGAATTATCACTCAGCCCAAAGCCACAGGACTGTGAAGAGCCTGTCTGGGCTAGACCTGGGAATGACAGAAAAAACCAGGGAGAGGCTAAGCCTGGAAGCCCAGTGCTTGAAGAGTGGCTCCTTGGCACCTCTGGGCGTCCCCCGCCCCCGGTGGGTGTCTAAGCACAAAAAAGGGGCCTCATGGAAGATATAGGTGTGCTGAGGTGTGTATGTTGTGGGCAGCCACAGCTACATTCTCCCTAGGTTGCCACTGCTAAACCAGAATCATCAAAACTCCAAAAAGTACATTTCTTTGCTAAGAGAAGATGACACTATTGTTAGTACTAGTTAGGGTAGAATAACAGGGCGGCGCCTATGGGTCAATGGGCAGGGCGCCAGCCCCATACACCAAGGGTGGCGGGTTCAAACCTGGCCCCGGTCAAATTGCAACAAAAATAGCTGGGTGTTGTGGCAGGCACCTGTAGTCCCAGCTACTCAGGAGGCTGAGGCAAGAGATTCACCTAATCCCAGGAGCTGGAGGTTGCTGTGAGCTGTGATGTCACAGCACTCTACTGAGGGTGATAAAGTGAGACTCTGTCTCTACAAAAAAAAAAAAATAATAAAGTAGAATAACAATGATATACAATAGTAAAATATAGGGTGTTGTGGCAGGTGCCTATAGTCCCAGCTACTCAGGAGGCTGAGGCAAGAGAATCGCTTAATCTCAGGAGTTGGAGATTGCTGTGAGCTGTGATGTCACTGCACTCTACTGAGAGTGATAAAGTGAGACTCTATCTCTACAAAAAAAAAAATAATAAAGTAGAATAACAATGATATACAATAGTAAAATATAAGGCCATGAAGTGTGGCCTTAAATCTTTAGAACAGAGGGAACCTGGAGGCTGAGAGGGCAAATAGCCCAAGAACAGGAGGCCAGCCAGGACTTACTGTCATAAACACTTTTGGCCACCTCCTGTGAGCCTAGGCCAGCCTATACTGCTGGGCTCCGGACAAACAAAGCCAAGTATTAATATACTCATCTTCAGAAGTCTTCAGGCCAGTAGGCAATAGGCCAAAGAGAAAGAAGCACAGGGCGGTACCTGTGGCTCAGTGGGTAGGGTGCCGGCCCTATATACCAAGAGTGGCAGATTCAAACTTAGCCCCAGGAAAACTGCAACAAAAATATAGCTGGGTGTTGTGGCAGGCACCTGTAGTCCCAGTTACTCAGGAGGCTGAGGAAAGAGAATCACTTCAGCCTAGGAGTTGGAGGTTGCTATGGGCTGTGATGCCATGGTACTCTACTGAGGGTGATAAAATGAGACTCTGTCTCTTAAAAAAAAAAAAAAGGCTCAAACCCTGCAACTCAAGCGGCTAAGGCACCAGCAAAATACACCAGAGTTGGCCCACCAAACAACAATGACAACTACAACCAAAAACAGCCCGGTGTTGTGGCGGGCGCCTGTAGTCCTAGCTGCTTGGTAGGCTGAGGCAGGAGAATTACTTAAGCCCAGGAGTTGGAAGTTGCTGTGAGCTGTGATGCCACAGCACTCCACCCAAGGTAACAGCTTGAGGCTCTGTCTCAAAAAAAAGACAAGAAAGAGAAAGAGAGAGAGAAAGCAGCACAGTGTGTAGCCAGGGGAGCACCTGGCAGGGGTGGCAGGAAGAGGGAGGACTGCTGGGCAGCACTAAGGGTGCAGCAGGCTATGGACAGGAAGGAGTGAGGTTGGGGCCATACCCCTTAGCCCAGCTATGTCCCTGCAGTAGCCAGGGACTAGCTGGATGGGGGAGCAAATTTCTTTTTCTTTTTTTTTTTGCAGTTTTTGGCTGGGGCTGGGTTTGAACCCGCGACCTCTGGCATATGAGGCTGGTGTCCCACTCCTTTGAGCCACAGGCGCCACCCCAGGGAGCAAATTTCTATGCTGTCCCTACCTCCCTAAATCCAGGAAGGTTCCTCGCCAATGCCTCTGGGCCCAATTGTGAATGTGTCCCCTCACCTGTGGGGGTCTCCATCAGGGCACCTCTCTCCTTGGTGTCTAGAGAGCAGGCCTGGGGATTCTAATCCTCACCCTACCTTGCAGAACACCAGCAGTGGGAAGAGTTTCTGGTGGGTAAAAAAAGAAAAAAAAAATGGCAGTGAAGTCAGGATGCCTTTAGAGAAGAGAGGGTCAAAATGGGCTTAAGGGGACCCTGAGGGAACTGTGGCACTCAGTTGGGCCCATTTCAGTCATCAGCAGTCAAAAAGGTCCCAACTAAACAGACACCCCCCAGAAACTGGTGTTCTATGAAATACCCTGAGGACTCTAGTTCAGGCTCTGCTCCCCCAACCCTGGCCTTGCAGATGCAGAGCACAGATGGAGGTGGCCTTGTCCACAAGCTGCCTGCTGTGGGCTTCTCAGCTTCACACCAAACACACCCAGAGCCTTCAATCAGTACTTAAATGCCTAGAGAAACTTCTGTACATTTTAAAATTCTCTTGATAATTATAAGAATCTGAATGTAAAAAATTGAAACAACAACACAAAATAAGAACAAATGATTTGAATTCTGCAAATCTGGATTGAGGAGTGATTTTTCCAAATCTAAAATAAAAGATAAAGGCTGACATAGTTATCGACATAAGAAAACTTAACGTAAAAAAAAAAAAACTAAAAAAGGGAGAGAAAAACTTGCAACATAAAGAAATCAGACCCCTAAATATTAACAGGAAAGTATGAAAAACTGCCAAAGACCAACAGATAACTCACAAAATAGGAAAAAGAAGGCAACATATTTTTTAAGTCCCACATTATGTGCAGTTAAGACACGTTATTTATATATTTGTTTATTTTTGAGACAGTCTCACCTTATTGCCCTGTAGAGTACCGTAGCGTCCTAGCTCACAGCGACCTCAAATTCCTGGGCTCAAGTGATCCTCCTGCTTCAGACTCCAGAGTAGCTGGGACTTACAGGTACCGCCACAACGCCCCGCTAGTTTCTCTATTTTCAGAGCCGGAGTCTCGGCGTTGCTCAGGCTGGGGCTGAGGAACAGCGGATCCTGAACTCAAGGGATCCTTCCACCTCAGTCCCAGAGTGCTGGGATTACAGACATGAGCCACCGCACCCGGCCTAAGATATGTAATTTAAAATACCATTTTTTACTATGAAAGTAGGTTTTTTAAATGGCTATACCTAACCAGCAAGGAGAGGCAATGCTGTGCGCAGGGAAAGAGCCGCAGGCTGCCGGGCCAGGACGCGCCGACCACCGACCCAGGGCTTCAGACCAGCGGCTCGCTCTTTCCAGCCGCTTGCAGCAGCACCCCCGCGACCTCCGGCCGCCGAGGGAGGCCGGCTAGGACACCCGGTCCAGACGCGCCGGACCACACCCGCCGGGGCGCCGTCCACATCACCGCCCATCGGCCCCGCGCCGGAAGCCTCACGACCTCGCCCCGCCCCTCGGGGCCGGCACTTCCTGCGTTGCTCTGGGCGGTGGCGATTGCGCGCTGGGCTGCTCAGGGAGGAGCGGGTGGGCGGCCGGACTCTCCAGCGGAGGGCTGCGGGCTGCAGGCGTGCGGGCGGGTGTACTCGCCTGTCACCTGGCCGCACGAACCGCTGCCCCGTCCCTCCGGCTGGGCGCTCTGCTCGGGCCCCCGGGCCGCCCACCGGCGAGCTCCCGTGGGCGTCGGCCGAGGCGGGAAGTCGCGGGATCCCAAGACGCCGCGGTGTGGATGGGGCTTCCCCGCGGTGTGGATGCTCTGGCGTCTCGCCGCGCCTGAGGAACCCGCGCGTGATGGGTGAGACGCCGCGTCGGGCGGGTGTCCTCTCTGACGTCTCCCTGAGGCCCTGGTCCGTAGCCCTGACGGCTCCCTGCGGGGCTTCCCTGTGCAAGAGTCCTGGCGTCTGCCTGCCACTGCCAGCCTCCACGATCTCGCGCCCGTCCCTTGTCCTTGGACAAGTGCTCGCACCTCCGGCTGGAGCGCTGCGAAAGTGGGGTGTCATTAGGTGTCACATGTGAGATGCATAGTGTCATCGGCTCTTCACTGGCCATTGATAAATTTATCATGTGGGCACAGTGTCGCCTAGTTTTCCCACCATATAATTGCTATTTTCCCTTTGCAGTGGAGAGACCTCCGAGGAGAAAAGGAGGGCGGAAGAAGTGACCCTTGGCAGCGCAAAGCACCGCACCGGTCCGCCCAGAACGTGGGTGCGGAAAGGCCGATTGGGTGGGGCTCGGTTTCCACGCTCTAGTCCCTGAGTCTGATACCTGCACTGTGGTTTTGTAACACATGGTCCTTCAGCATAGGAAATACACGCTCAGGTGCCGTGGGGCCACGGACGATGGGTATGCAAAACATTGTAAGAAGATTTGGGGAAAATTGTATAGATACTAATAATAACTGTGAACAGGCCCGGTGCGGTGGCTCACGCCTGTAATCCCAGCACTCTGAGTACCCAAGAAGAGAGGATCCCTTGAGCTCAGGAGTTCAACACCAGCCTGAGAAACAGTGAGACCCTGTCTCTAAAAATAGCCCAGCGTTGTGGCAGTGCCTGGAGGCTGAGGCAAGAGAATCGCTTGAGCCCAAGAGTCTGAGGTTGCTGTGAGCTGTGACGCCACGGCACTACCCAGGGCACCAAAGTGCGACTGTGTCAAAACAAAAGATAGAAAAAAGGAAGGAAAGAAAAAATAAACTAAGAGTGTGTTGCTTCCATGGGATTTGAAACTAGTGTGACTTCCTTTCTACTCTTCATTTGCCAATTTTCCTATGAATTTTGTCACAAGTTTTATCTACAAATGTGAAGTCTTGACAAACACAAGTAAAATAAGACATTCATGGAAAGGTGGTTTCATTTAGGTTCCATAATACACAAGGTATGTCCTCAAGTGACCCAATGACTGCTAGTGACCTAAGATGGCAAGTGACTCTCCTTTTCACAGGTTCCCATTCCCTATTTTTTTTTTTTTTTAACAAAATGTGTTGTTCAGTCATCACAATGGCTGGGATGAGGACTTACTCATTGGATATGTGCTGGCTTTGCCTTTCCACCAGATTTGGGATACCTTTAATGGGCCTGTTGCTTGGCCCTGCTCAGGTCCCCTCCTCATGCAACCTGTCAACAGCATCCCCTTCCAACTGGGCTGGGAAAGGCTCCTCTACTTTGTTGCCACCAGATCATTCTGGAACTCTATGCCCACACCCCACCCCCAGGATGGGCTGTGACTCAGTCTCTCTAAGGTGGTGGTTCTCAACCTTCCTAATGCTGTGGCACTTTAAAACAGTTCCTGTGGATTGCAACCCACAGGTTGAGAACTGCTGCTCTAGAGGTTCTCCCAGAAGCTGGGAGGGTCTATCAAGATCATCTGCAGCCCATGGCTGAGATGGTGTCAGGACAAGGCCTGTCAGCGGAGACTGGCGCCACATGGAGCCTTTGCTGAGAGGCTGGAGCTGACAGCAAAGCCAGGTGGCCTCAAGGTTCTGGTCCCAGCCAGAAAACCTGGAGCTCCTGAAGCTCTCCTTGCCTCCAGCTGCCTCAGACCCCTGGCTTGTGCTGCCTAAGACAGTGGTGAGGAACCTCTGTCACTTGCAGCTTCCCTTTGGTAGGGGCCTGCTCCATTCCAAGGGTCCAGGTCCACAGGGATCAGAGGGTTAGCAAGTCCTTGGAGGACCCAAAGAGGCTCAAGTGATGCCTGTCAGGTCCAGCAGGCAGCAGTGGAAGGCCAGACCCTCACTTACTGATCTGGGTCCCCAACATGCCACATGGGCTCTCCTTTGGCTCCTGCACCTGCTCACCCACAGCTCCTGTCTGGCTTTTTCATGGCACCCTGCAGCACTCAGCACTTTTCCAGCACATACTGCCTATTTATTTGTAACAAATTATATGGAATTATAAAGCACTTACATAAAGTAAAGCCTCTAGAAGGGGTGGTAGAGCAAATGTAAATAGAAGTTTTCACTCTGCGCGCCAGTGGAACATCATCCCAAGGCTGTAAGTCTGAACTTGAGGTGTGTCACCCTCTGGAGCTCCCCTGCTACCCTCCTGGACACAGACCTGAAGCCATTGCCCCCTCCTGGCCGCTTTTCCGTTGCACACTCTCCTCATCTCTGGACCTGTGTCCTACTGTTCTTTGTGCTGCCATGCCCCCCATTCCCCACCTGCCAGAGTCAGGGACTTGACCCAGACCCTGGGCGGCCCCTTCTGCAGTCGCTGACCCCGCCCCTCCAGCCCCCTTGCTTGCTCGCGGTGGGGAGGAGGAGGGGGCGTCCCAAGGCCAGGTGGCACCCCACCCTCTGGTAAAATCCAAGTTGCCTGGCACAAGTTCGCTCAGCGCACATTTTTGTAAAAGGTCAGACGGTGGATGTATTCTGTGCAGATTAAACCTTAAAAAAAATAACCGTTGGAGTAAGGTGCTGGCCCCATATGCCGGAGGTGGCGAGTTCAGATCCAACCCCAGCCAAAATAATAATAATAATAATAACCCTTAATAACCTTTAAATAACCCATTGCTGCCTGAAGCCTGTACGGGGTCAGGCCACTGGCGGCCGGGCTACAGGTGACCAGGGCTTCGACCAGGGCCGCCTTTGTGGGAGTGCAGGGAGTTGCCAGCTCAGGGCGTCGGCTCCTGAGGAGCAGGGACAGCCGGGCCGGGCCAGTTCTCAGGCTCTGTGTGCCATGCACCGCGCACCCGCCAGGGAAGGCCCCGCAGCACTCCGAGCAGTGCAGCAGTCGCTCGTCCGTGGGGATGCCCCCGTGCCCAAAGCCCGACAGCGCGTAGACGGCCGCTTGCCCGAGTGCATGCGCTGGCGCCTCCCCACGTCTGACTTTCCGCCAAAAGGTCCGTGGCACTCGCTGCGCGCCCTCGGGAACTCCAGGTCGTTGGCCCCGCGCGGGGCTTTCTGATACCCACCCGGCCCGTAAGGGGCCCCAGCTCCACCGGCTCCCTCCTAGTCTTCCTGGCGGGCCACCCGCTCCCAGCGAGGCTCTGGTCTTACATTCTCCAGAAGAATAACTTTTAAAAAGTTATTCTGTACTTTTGTTAGTCTTCTTCTTCAGAAGAACCACCTAGAAATATCTGCCTTGTCTTTCTCTACCTTCCACATCTTCATCTTTTATCAATTACTGTTCTTTTTTTTTTTTTTTAATCAAGATCTCTGGGGTGGCTCACGCCTGTCATCCCAGCACTCTGGAAAGTTGAGGCAGGAGGATCCCATGAACTCAGGAATTTGAGACCAGCCTGAGCTAGAGCGAGACCTCACCTCTAAAAATAGTTAGGTGTTGGCTCGGCGCCTATAGCTCAACCGGCTAAGGCGCTAGCCACGTACACCTAAGGTGGCGGGTTCAAATCCCCAGCCCGGCCCGCCAAACAACAATGACCGCTGCAACCAAAAAATGGCCAGGCGTTGTGGCGGGCCCCTGTAGTCCCAGCTACTTGGGAGGCTGAGGTAAGAGAGTTGCTTAAGCCCAGGAGTTTGAGGTTGCTGTGAGCTGTGGTACTCTCCAAGGGTGACAAAGTGAGACTCTCTAAAAAAAGGGATGGGGGAATCAGACATTCAGTCTGAGAAAATACTTACAATTTTTAGTCATTTTCAAATTACAAGTTAGAATAATTTACTTGGATTTCAGTGTATGTTAACTTCCTAGTAACTCCTCCTTAAAATATTTTTGTTAAAGAAAATGTATTTGGTTCCTTAACAATGTTTATTCCGGGCAGTGCCTGGGGCTCAGTAGGTAGGGCGCCCTCATATATCGAGGGTGGCGAGTTCAAACCCAGCACTGGCCAAACTGCAACCAAAAAAATAGCCATGTGTTGTGGCAGGTGCCTGTAGTCCGAGCTACTTGGGAGGCTGAGGCAACAGAATCGCCTAAGCCCAAGAGCTGGAGGTTGCTGCACTCTACCCAGGGTAACAGCTTGAGACTCTGTCTCAAAAATAAATAAAAGCTAGAATAGAGGTTACTCTAGGGGACACTGACAGGGTAAGGAGGCTAGAGTGCAGTGGTGTGATCATATCTTACTGTAACCTCCAACTTCTGGTTCATGTGATACTCCTGCCTCAGCCTCATGAGCTGATCACCACACCTGGCACATATCTTGGTGATAGCTATTCAAGGTCAGGGACAGGGAAAGAATGATTAGGGTATCCAGGACAAAGGCACATTCCAGAGGAAGGACAGAGGTCAAGGGCTTCCCCATCATGACGTCAGGGGGCAGGCTAAGCAAAGTTCTGCTAGGAAAAAAACCCCAAACCCAAACCACCTGCCCCAGGAACTTACACCACCCAAGCTGTCCTTTGAGTGTAAAGCAATAAAGAACATCCCAGAGCCTTCAGAACTTAGATGCAGCACCCTACAGTTCTGTCATTGCAGAGCCCTCTCCCCAGGCAGCAGCTCAGGGGCTCAGTGGGCTGGACAATCTACCCTGTGAATAAGGGGGAGCCTCATCCAGTGGGGCTGTAAATAAGTGCTGCCCGTGTCAGGGTGAGGCACACTGGGGTCCGGGGCTGGCATCAGCAGGCACTGCCATAGCAGTGGGCAAGTGACTCAGCCTGAGACCCAAGACAGGGCTGGAAATCACCCAGGGCACGCTAGAAGCCCACAGAGTTCTCACTCTGTGCACACATCTGGACAAATGCCCACTCTTCCTCCTCAGCACTGTGGGGCACTGTCTGACTCCTCCAGGGCAGCAACCACTACTTTTCACTTCAGCACACTTGGAGCTGGGCTTACTGTGTTGAACTAGTGAGTGACTAACAGAGTGAGCAGAATAATCTAGCTGCTGAGACTGCTGTAGCTGCCCCACAACTGTGCTTACTGGAGTCTTCTGGACTTTGAAGTGTCTGCTGTCTGCTGAGACCAGCTGTACTGGACTGCATAAGGTACACCTGAGCAATGCCTGCCACTGGCTCACTTCCTCCTCCCACAACAGGACAGAGTTGGGGACAGCTCCCCCAATTGCGGTAAAAGACCCACCAGAAGGGAGCTGTGCCCCAACATGGAACTGGAACTGCTGTGTGGCAGATGCAACCCTTCTGCACCTCCAGATGTCCTCCATAGCAACCTGGGGGTGGGACAGGTGGAATGGCATGGTAGGGAAACACAGGGGGGCACAGAATTGAGACGTGGGTTCAGGTCGAGGCTATGGGTATGTTCTGAGTCAGAGATGCCAGCATCCCTCACACAGTTGGAGGGCATAAGCTTCCAGCCTGCCTCTAGCAAATCTGAGATCTCGGGACATGAAGATTATTTTAGGGCTGCATTAAACATTGAGCCTGTTTGTTTTAAAAGCAAGAACTGGCTGAATATATGCGCAAACACTCCTATAGAAGTTGGTTATCCCTTCTCTAAAATGCATGGGATAGCATTTCAGATTTCTTTCTGGAGTATTTGCTGTTTTGAAACAAATCTTATCCTTGATAAGAGTGCTGTGGCATCACAGCTCATAGCAACTGCAAACTCATGGGCTCAAATGATCCTCTTGCCTCAGCCTCTGGAGTAGCTGGGACTACAGGAGCCTACCAGAACACCTGGCTATTTTTAGAGACTGGTCTCAAACTCCTGAGCTCAGGTAATCCACCTGCCTTGGCCTCCCAGAGTGCTGGGACTACAGGTATGAGCCACTGCACCTAGCTTGATTTTGGAGTATCTGCACTATACTTACTGGTTAAGCATCCCAGATCCTAACATCTGAAATTTCACACACTTGAATGTGCATTTCCCTTGTGCCTCATGTTGGTGCACTCAAAGGTTTGAATTTCCCAAGTTCGTATTTGGGATGTCCAATCTGTAGCTGCTGAGAGAATTTCTTTTTTGTCTCTTCTATTTTTCCTACTTTCCAGATTTCTTTAAAGAGCACAAATAAATGCTGTTGGGGAGAAGAATTGTTTTTTAAGAACCTGTGCTCAGCAAGATGGTCTGGGACTCCGCCAAGTGTTCTGACTTCTTGTAGGGGTTAGAGACGGGAGCTTTTGGGTTCAGGGCCTGTGATAGCTATTCAAGGTCAAAAAACAGGGATAAAGGACAAAGAACAGGGCTCCAGAAGGGAGGGCCAGGTGTCCTGAAGGATGAAGGAGGTGAGGTCATGGAGGGTGCCGGGCTGCCACTGGCTGGGATGAAGACTCCCCCAGCCCGCAGGAGCCGGGCTGCTGGTCCGGGCCTCCTCTACAGGCTCAGCCTCTCTAGTGCGCGCTGGTGCAGAAGCAAGGAGGAAGGTCCTGCCCTACACTTGGCCTCTGCCAACCTCCTCAGGCCACACTCAGGGGTAAAGCCTGATGTGGAACTGAGGGCAAGGCAGCGCCTGGCCTAGACCAGATGCGCCCCCTTCTGGGCACGGTGCGGAGCCTGCCCAGTCCATGGTCCGAAGGCGCCCGGCCAGAGGGAAGAAGTGTGCACCTAGTTGCAGACAGACAATAAGGCCCCACAGGGACACCTGTGGCTTCCCTGTGACCTTCCAAGCTGCCCTAAATGGAAGCCAGTCTCTGCAAGAAAGGCACCACCTCTAGGAAGCGGGGAGGGGAACCCCAGGTGGCAGGCTGGGAAGGAGCCAAGAGGAGCTAAGTGGAGGCCTGTGGGAAGCTGTAAGAGCACAGTCCAACTTGGGGCTGTCAAAGACCCTCTGTCCAAGAGGGGAGGAAATGGGGCCCAGGCCCTGGGTGTCCTCTGGAAAATGGGCTTGCTGAGGGCTGATGACATCAGACGTGCATAGTGCAGGCATTTGCAGACACTGACACAAAGTAAGGCCACAAGCCTCCTTTCAACAGGACTAACGACCTGCCACGGGGACATCTGGGGGCCAGGAAAGGTCATAGCAGGACTTCTAGGAGGGTCTGGGGACTATTTAACATTGCCAGGAGCAGCCTCACCACACCCCAGTGGGCCCAGAAGGAGCAGGTGGGGCAGGGAGAAGGGTTGTTAACACTCAAGGCCATCCCTATTCTGCTGAGCTCTTCCCTTACCATTCGGGCTGGAAGTCCCAGGGCTGTGTGCCCCAGACTGCCCTTCCTAGGAGAGGAGTCACAGCCCTGATCCAGCTATAGCAGCCTGCACTTGTCAAGACCTCTGCACCACTGGGCACCTTCCCCAGGGAAGACAAGGGGTGAAGGGGCCCAGATCTGAGAGCTGTGTGGTAAAGAACAAAGCACTATATAGAATAGACTAGAACTGGCTCCATGCCAGCCACATACACCAGAGCTGGTGGGTTTGAATCCAGCCCTGGCCCGCCAGACAACAATGACAACTTCAATAAAAAATAGCCAGGTGTTGTGGCAGGTGCCTGTGATCTCAGCTACTTGGAAGGCTGAGGCAAGAGAATCACTTAAGCCTGAGAGTTTGAGGTTGCTGTGAGCTGTGACGCTATGGCACTCTACCAAGGGTGACAGCCTGAGACTGCCTCAAAAAAAAAAAAAAAAAAAAAAGACTAGAACCAGAAGCCTTCCAAATACTCAAGGATGAACTGCCAAAGCGATCCCATGCCCAGGGTAGAGGACAAGCACTGTGCTCCTACCCCTAGGCAAGCCAGCCCTGTCCTCATCCCGCCTTCTTTGGATTTCTGTCTTGGGTGTCAGCGTTAAGTCAGGGCATCTCCAGCCCGCTGGGGACAAAGGAGGTAGGTCTGGGTGGAGCAGCCTTGTCTCCCATCTTCCCTCGGGATGGGAAGCAGCCAGAGGCCCCGCACAGGCAGGAGCTGGCTCTCATGTCCATCCTAAGAGAGAATTTATTAGGGACACTGGGCATGCCGTGTTAGGCAGCGCCAGCCAGGAGGGAAGGGGCACAGGACCCCCGCAGGCCGGTCTCAGCCCCGGCTACTCCCGGTAGTGCACCCTCTGGTGCTGGATGAGTTGGGAGCTCTGGCCAAAGGCCTTGCCGCAGATGCCGCAGGCGAAGGGCTTCTCTCCTGTGTGGGTCCGCAGGTGCCGGAAGAAGTGTGAGCGGCCGCGGAAGGCCTTGCCACAGTCGGCGCACTCGTAGGGCTTCTCGCCCGTGTGGATGCGCTGGTGCTCGATGAGCACAGAGCTCCAGATGAAGGCCTTGCCACATTGGCTGCAGGCATAGGGTTTCTCCCCCGTGTGCAGCCGCTGGTGGCGCACCAGGTTGGAGCTCTGGCTGAAGGCCTGGCCGCACTCGCCGCACTCGTAGGGCTTCTCGCCATTGTGTGTGCGTAGGTGCTGCGTGAAGTGCGAGCTGTGGCTGAAGGCGCGGCCGCACTGGCCACACTCATATGGCTTCTCTCCCGTGTGGATGCGGTGGTGCTGGATGAAGCCCGACCAGCCACGGAAGCGCTTGCCGCACTCGTGGCAGGCGTAAGGCTTCTCGCCTGTGTGGATGCGCTGGTGCTTCAGCAGCAATGAGTTGTACTTGAAGCTCTTGCCGCAGGCCTCGCACCGGTGCACCTTGGCCCCCCGCGGGCTGCCCTGCCGCGTCCCGTGGCCTGCGACCCGGCCGAAGCTGCCCCCCAGCTCGGCAACCCGCTCGGGCCCACCCTCGACCCCGGGGGCTCCCTGTGTCTCGAGCGTCGAGCACCACGCGCCCGTGTGCTGGGCACTGGGCAGAGTCCCTGGCGGTTGGCCTGCCGGCTGTTCCAACCTGGGACACTTGGCTCCCCGGGGAAGGCTTCTCAGGAGGCCCCGCAGCGCACCCCCGTCCTGGCCCACCCCATCTTCAGGGATGCGCAAGGGGTGAGGAGCAGTCTGCTCCAGCTGGGACTCCGAATCTGAAATGAGAACCGGCAGAGGCAGATAGTCCCTGGCTGCATAGTCCTGCCTTGGGGCTTGGGGACCAGGGTGAGAGCAGAGCTGATGTGTGGCTTGATCAGAGTGGCTAGCTCAGAGAGCAGGGAGGAGCTGGATTCCCATGCCACAGGAGAGTACCGGCAGAGGGCTGTCCTAAGGATGGGGCTAGGGGATGCTGCAGGATGACCCAGAGCTGCAGGGACCATCCAGTCATCCCCGTGGCCTGAACCCATGTGAGGAGCCTGCAGTGGCTAATGAGACCTGTGACACAGGAAGGAGGTGCCGAGGTAGACAATGAGTGCCAGTGAGGGTCTGGAACTTGAGAGGGCTCTGGAAAGTGGTCCTGCACCCAAGGGCAGAGCTCATGAAAAAGTGAAGCTTCTCCAAAGGGTGCTGTGGGGCTGCCCAGGACCCCACTGGGAACATTCCCATTCCTGAAGCAAGGTCATCTGCTGAACCCTGAGGCCTGCTCCATAGCTTTTCACAGGGCTGGCCAGGCCTGGGTGGCAGCTGCACTGTTGCCCACCTCCCTGGCCCACCCTGGGACCTCCTTGTACAAATCTCTGCTGCAGAGTCCACTTCCCAGGGACCTGATCTCAGACATCTCCTCCCCACCCCGCCCCTGACCATCCAGGTGTAGGTGGAGAGCTCAGTGCCATTAAATTTAGCTGACCAAATGCCACCAAATGCTGATGATCTGTGGGGCTGGAAACCCTGAAGAGGAATCCTGAGGACTTCTCGCAGTGGGGGAAAGGTGGTGGGGACCTGGATTAACACAGCTCAGCCAAGAGCTCCTTGTAGGGGACAGTTGGCAGCCCCAGGGCACACACAGGGGAGAAGGGGTCCAGGATGATTCTCCAGATGGCCTGGTGGGGGACAGTGGTGCCCTGAGTCAGAGACTCCAGCCCAAGGCAGGGGGGAAGAGAAGTCCTCTGCTCTTCATGTCCAGTGTGGGCTGCAAGAGTCCACATGGGGCCACTGGAGCAGGTGGCCATGGGGGCCTGGGTTTCAGAGGAGGGGTCCGGGCTGCAGTCATAGCTTTGAAGTGTCAGTAATAAAGCTGGGACTAGAATGGGGGAGGGGGCTAGAGGCAGGGACCAAAAGTGATCCCAGTAGGGCTGACACAGGGGTGGGTATGGCACAGAGCCTGCCAGGAACAGGAGCTCCAGCCCCTAGTAGCCCTTGGGAACAGCCAGAGGCCAGGACACAGGGGAGGGTTCTGCTCACTCACCTGGCCAGAAGGCGTCTCTGCCAATCTCAACTTCCTCTATGTCTTGGAGATCCTGGTCAGATGACTGGGAGAGTACCTCAGGGCTGGAGCTGGGGGAGCCTGGGGGGCAGGGAGGCCACAGCTTACCTCTGGCCCTTGAGTGCCACCTCCCTCAGATTAGTGTGGGCTGGCAGCCATGCCCCCCAACGCTTCCTTGTCCTCTGTCACCCCAAAGAGTAGGCCAGCCTGTAATCCAGAAATACCTATCTTCATTCCCAGCTTGGTTCAAGACTCCCTCCTCTAGAAAGCTCTCCTGAAGACTCAGCTTTGGGAGCTCACCCCCTTTAGTCTAGTAAGCAGAGATAAACCTCAGGGTGGCCTCAGAGTGGCCCTCCTGCTCCTCCAGATTGGCTGACTCTGGCCTGACCTTTCCACCTTGTCATATTGCTCTGGATAGGCCCTGGCCCCAAGGCCTGTGAAGGTCAGGTACAGCAGGTCACAAAATGGGTCATAAGCCCCAGCTCTCAGCACCTGCCCCCACATGTGGACATTTCTGCAGAGCTCTATCAGCTGCATCTCTGCAGGCCCCCTGCCCCACCACATTACCCCATGGCCTCTCAAGCTGGTGTGCTGCAGTCTCATAAAGCTGCCCTCTCGCTGCCAGAGATTTTTGCTGTCCCTCCTAGGCTTCCCACTGCCTGATCAAGTCTTAGGACGCTGACCATGTAGGGCTCTCTCTGCCAGTGGTTTTTGCTATCCCTCCTAGGCTTCCCACTGCCTGATCCTCTTAGAACCCTGACCATGTAGGGGCAAGCCCTGATCAGCACCCAGAATAGGTGGAAGCAGCCATTTCCAACGTGCCCCAAAGTCCCAGGCTACCTCCTCTTGACTAAGTCCACACTTAAGTCCACTGTGGGGCTGGTGCTGCCTGCTCTGGGGTATACAGGGGCCCTGCTCCCCCACCTTCTTCAGGGCAGAGGGACAGGCTGGGCCCATTGGATGGACATTCCAGGTTCAGTGCTCACAGCTAAGATGGTTCAGGAGTCTCCAGCACATCATGTTAGCTGTTAAAAGAGCATGACGACAGTAGGACACAGGGACATACTGCTTTTGAGCAGGGTCTTCAGTGTTCCCAGGGAGGGGCCCTGCCCCAGGGCTCTGGTGCCTGAGGCTAGTCATTAGTTCACCTCTCTGATGGAGAGGGGGTGTCTGCCCTCTGACTACAGCAATGGAGGGCCTTGATGCTCCAGTGTCATGTGATGCCAAAGGAGAGGTGGGCACAGGCTTCTGACCCCTAGCTGGCTACAACAGTGCCTAGGTGTGAGCTTTTTTTTTTTTTTTTTTGAGACAGAGCCTCAAGCTATCCCCCTGGGTAGAGTGCTATGACATTACAGCTCATAGCAACCTCCAACTCCTGGGCTCAAGCGAGTCTCCTGCCTCTGCCTCCCAAGTAGCTGGGACCACAGGCTCCCGCCACAATGCCCGGCTATTTTTTGGTTGCAGCCGTCATTATTGTTTGGCGGGTCTGGGCTGGATTTCAACCCACCACCTTAGGTGTACGTGGCTGGCGCCTTAGCCGGTTGAGCTACAGGCGCCGAGCCTAGGTGTGAGCTTTTATGGAGCTTTTCATGAACAGAGTAAGGGAGAGGCCTCTGAGGGCGGGGCCTTTGCAGTGGGCCTCCTGTGCTCTGGGCACTTGTGCACACCCACTCACCCTCTTCATCTGTCTCCTTTGGACCTCCTCTGAACCCTGGCTAAGGAGCCGGCCTGAGGAGGATGGTTCCCCTCTGGAGAGGCACTTAGGGCTGGGAAGTTCAGGAGGTGGCATAGCCTGAGATACCCATTCCCTGAGAGCTGCTTGTCTGCCCTAAAAGCAGGGTAGAGGGTCCTAAAGCCAAAACCTCCTCTGGGCCCTCTAGGAGCCTTCCCCAAGGTAAAGACATGCCCAGAACACTGGCCTCTCAGCTATGACCTTCACAGCCGACTCATGGCCACCCTGTTGCTATCACTTGGTGACCAGGGGAGCAAGCTTATTCCATGGACAAATACAGGGCCAACTTCCCAGAAATACTCCTCCAGAAGGGTGGGTCAGTGAGCCTTCCAAAGCCACTTGTGCCCACATTGCTGCAGACACCCTCACCACCCTTACTGTCTGAGCTGGGATACCACTAGAGGGAACATGGCAGAAGTCTGGGAATGAAAATGGCTCAGAACTCTGGCCTCCAGCTTTGGCCTGAGCTGCTGTCAACAGTCTCCCTATGGTGTGGGATGGGTGTGAGCAGGCAGGAGTGGACTCAGCACAGCCCTGGGGCCCCGAGTTGCCCCTTTAGGTTGAATATAGCACCTCCTCGGCCCTCCTCTGGGAGAAGATAGGGCCTGCCTTAGGGTCTGGTACAGGCAGGTCACAGCATGGGTCATTGTCATTGCACTGCCTAAGACCCAGCTCTCAGCATCTGCCTGCAAACCTGATGTTTCTGCAGAGCTCAATTAGCTGCCATCTCTGCCACCCCATGCAGGGCTGAGGTGCACAGCTTGCCCTTGCTGCACCCCGACTGTCCTGAACTACCCTGGCCTTGGCTGACAGACCCCCTTACCTGTCAAGTTACCTCCCACCAAGCCCAATGCTGCTGTGCTCCCCACCATGCTGGGACATAGGAATGGTGTGGCCTGAACTGGAAAAGACACCAGGCTGCCCACTTGCCAGGGGCTGTCCAGGTGGAGGGCAAGGAGGCTGTACATGCCCAGGGGACAGGGAGGAGGGGGCACTTCCCTGGCTGGAAGGGGCTTCTCTTGTGTGTAAAATGGCACAGCAAGTACAGTGTGCCTGGCCATGGCCCAGGGTGAGGCAAAGGAGAGGCAGTTGGCTTGGGTCAGCCAGTTGGCACCTGGAGTCCATGTACCAGGTACCTGACCTGGAAAGATGCCCTGACCACAGACCCCTGCACACCAGCCTAGGCACTCGTAAGGATATCCAGAGCTGTAGGCTGTCAGGGTCCCAGGCCCCCTCTGTCACTTCCTCTGGCCCACAAACTGCCCTTCTACCTGCAGGGCTCCTCATCACACCTTCTAGACCTTCCTCTGACAGTGCTGGCTCTGGGGGGCATACCACATTCCAGGCCAGGCCCCTCCGCCCCCAGGCTCAACCCCAGCTCCTGATCCGCATCTCCATGAGACAGGGAGGTCCTGGGAGAAGCAACGTCTTGCCCTACCTGCCAGGCCTCTCTGCTCTGAGAGGCTTGGGTGAGGCCAGCAGTTCTCAATCTGTGGGTCATGACCCACAGGAACTGTATTAAAGGGCTGTGGCATTAGGAAGGTTGAGAACCACTGGGTTAGGCCAACTGGCAGTCTTCAGTGCTGCCACAGGACTGCAGTTGCATGCCCATAGGGCCACTGCAAGGCCCCCTCTGCCTGTGCAGGGTCCTTCCCTCCCCTCCCCACTGACAAAAGGCTCCCCCAAGGACTTCCTCTGTGCTCCAAAGCCTTGTAGCTAGGTGCCCAGCCAGGGTGGCTCCTGAAATGACCAGGCGTGTGAGGTGGACTCAGGAGATTGCTGGGCCCAGTAAGTGGGTGAGAGAGACCCAGGCATTCCAGGGTGGGTCCCCCAAATCTTTCTAGCTTATCACAGACTCTGGTCTGGAAGTTGTGGGCTCCAAGAAATCCTGGGTTGGCCCTGAATTGGCATGAAGGCCCTGGCAGTTCCAGAAATGCTGAGGTTTCCTGTGCTAATGAATCTGTGGATCCCAAAACACTCCCGAGGAACCAGCCAGTGGAGGACACGAGTTCCAGGCAGCCCTGCCTCTCCTGACTGCTTGGAAGTTTGGACAGGAACTATTATCACCCATCCATGCTGGGACATCCCCTATTCTACCATGGGCCACCTACAGGCATTTGGGGCATAGGAAGCGGCCTAGCCTATAGGCTGGGCCCTGCCCTGTGGCAGGACCACTGTCTTCTGGCCTCACACCTGCTCTTTACAGCCATCCTGCTCTGTGTCCCTGAATTCCAACTCTGGCATAGCACAAAGAGGTGTAAAGCTGCTGCTGTAGCCCACACTCCCTCCACAGCAAAGCTCTTGGGGCTTTACAACATTTGGAGGTGGTTCCAGTGTCCAGGAGGTGTGCATGGGCTAGCCTAAGGCATTTGGGTCAGGGATCCAAGCTTGGCCTTCTGTGATCCAAGAGCTTATAGAAACAGAGTAGGAGGAAGCCTAACCCTGCACTCCCTAGTGCTCTCCCTCCATCCTAGGCATTGGCCTTCTCATCATATGTGTCTTTTGCTGCCCCCAGAGGATCTATTGGCCTGCCCATCTTCCCCAGATACTGGCCGCCTCATGAGGAGCCAGCCACATCTCAGGGCCTGAGAGGAGGGTCAAGGGCGTGGGCTCAAGTCAGACCAATGTGCAGTGGATTCTTTGGTCTTTTGTCTTCTTTTGTGTGCTTCTACATCCCCATCAGTAAAAGGACAGAAGGGCTTATCTCACCCGGACATCATCCATACATAGCCTGGCACAGGGCCTAGGACCCAGTGCAGCCACTTGAGACAATCCTCAGTAGTCACTATGCCTCATCAATTAGCACAGAGCCAAGATCCACCAAAAGGGAGGGCCCTGTTCATGGGGTGAGACCACCTTCCTAGGCTAGGCACCAGCTTGCCAGGTTTGTCTTACATAGGACCTGGTCATAACCAGTATCCTGACCATGAGGGTGGTGCAGCTGGGCTCCCTGGGACATGCAGCAGAGACAGAACCTTAGGACCCCTGACCTCTGAGAGGGAGCTGGGTCCATGGACACCATGAGGCTGGGACTCCCCTTGTGCCTGGATCCCTAGACCCCACCAGATCACCAGTGAGGCCACACCACTGGGTGTGGGTCAAGGCCACAGCTCTGTTCCCTTCAGGGAGGGACAAATTATGGTGGCAAGAACTCTAGACACTCTATGTTCCTGGAACGAGAACAAAGACTCAGGGAGATGACTTACTCCTGGTCACACGGGACCTGAATTTTGACACTACTTTTTCTCTCATACCCCACACCCAGGAAAGAAACAAGTCTCAGGGGACTCTCCCCTAGGGAGCCAGAGCTTGGGCTGGGCTCCAGCCTCAACCATCCTAGCCAATGTCATCCTCTCAGGGTTCTGTCCCAAGGCCCTAGCCCCACTCCCCCGGCCTGAGCATGTGGGAGCCTCAGCATCCTGATGAGCTGCACAAGGGTCTGGTGGTGCTGCTCAGTTCGCCAGGGTGTCAGCTCAGTGGAGCACTCCATGGTGGCGGAGACAGGGCAGAGGGAACATGGCAGGTGGGTGAGTACCATGCTGATGCCTGTGGAAGTGAAGCCGTGTCTCATGGTGCTGGGCTCCAGGTGTCCCCGGTGGAGAAAGACTGACAGGGTACAGGACAGGAAGGGACTCCTGAGTGTCCCCTAGGGCTGCCATCTTCCCTGAGACTGGCTGAAGGTGTGCACACCTGGGACCTGGGGAAAATGAAAACCACAGCAGATGAGGGGGTGGAAAGAAATGCTGGGGTTGTGGGATGAGGGCAAAGCATGCCAGCCTTTGAGGTGAGACAGAGGCTCATTCATTCAGTGGGCAGTAAGAATGAAAGGTGAACCCATGGGGACATCTGGGGCCTGGCATATTTACTCAGTAAGAAGTGCTTAAGAAATGGCACCATCCAGACCTGCAGGGCTTGAACCAAAGCTCTCATCCCAGCAAAGGATCTGGAATGTCTTTCCAACCTAGGGCATCACCCACAGAGAAAAGCATGCTGATTCTTTCAGAAAGACCTCAGTTGGGACTACTGGCCCCATAGGAGGGTGAAAAACTGGCCACGCCCACTGTGGTATTAACGTTTTTGATGAAATCTCAGCAAAGGTTTTCCTGAACAGCAAAAGGGAGATGTTGCCAGAGAGAATCTTCTTTCTCAAAGCCTGTGGACCCCTCAGAGGCCGCAGGCTGTAATGCCCCAAGTCCCACACTGTCCACAGTGCTCTCACACTCATCTGTGGGACAAAGATACTTTTTCTTAACTTGGTTTGCAAGAATGGCTTCAGTCCAATGTGAGACAACCACCCCCTGTTGTCTCACCCCAATGTGAGAAAAAGTTTTTCTTTCATACTGCGATAAAGTAGGAACTTCTTATTTGGAGCAGGCAGCAAAAAAGTGGATGGGAAGGAAAGGACAAAAGTTAACACCTCCAGAAAGGGTCACAGACAAATCCTGCTTCCAGCGAGTGGGAGCGGCCGTCAATAGGGCCAACACAAGGTGCTCAGCCTTCTGGGTCAGCCCCTATGGCCTAATGATGGGAAGTGGCTGGGCAGCCAGGTAAGCGAGTCCAGGGCAGGGCTGCAGCATGATGCTGGGTGCTCAACCGCGAGTCACATCTCCAGTTAGTTAACTTACTGGGGACTATTCTGGAGAAAGATCCCAGTGCTGACCCCAGGACTGAGCAGATGTGGCTGTCACAGGTTGCAAGCCATTTTACCCACATGGATGTGAGGACAAACCCTGCGTTACACACCCACGTTGCCTCAACAGGCTGAAGGGGCGGGGGCACACCTGCCACCGGCTCTGGGGCAACTTGCACCCCCTCTTTTCCCAGTCCCGTGGGAAAGGGTCTGGCCTCAGGGAGTTTAGCCGAAGATCGCAGCTGGCCAGAATGAGGTGCGGTGGGTACACACACGCAGCCGCAGGCCCTCGGACAGGGACTTCCAGCTTGTCTCTCACTTGCAAAGTGGGGACGATCACAGCCCGCACCACCAGGTTAGAGAGGAAGGCGCCCTGGAAACGGCCACTCGCGATTCCCGGAGGGCCGGTGAGCCACAGCTGCGGGCCTGGCGGTGCACCGCGCGGAGCCCACCCCAGCCCGCAGGCCCAACCCAATGCCAAGGTCACGGCGAGGGGAGGCTGCAGGAAGGGGCGGCCAGCCCGGCCCAGGCGGGGCCGCACCGCTGGGGATGGTCCCCCAGCGCGGGCCAGGAGGGTCCCGAGCGCCTCGAAAAGCTGCCACAGCCCGCGCCCACTCACCTTCGAGCGGGAGGAGGCCGCCGCACGCCGGCCGGAAGCGCGTCCAGTCCCGCCCCGGCCTGCTGCGCGCACTTCCGGGACGCTCTGGGCGCCGGGAGGCCCGCGCCCCTTTGTGGCCGCGGGGTGTTGAACGCACCCTTTGCGTGTCTTCCACGTCTCCTCTGGCTAGGGAGGAGGAATGGGTGGCCGAGCTGACCGCCTGGGGTGGTATGCCGCTGCTCTGTTCCTGTGGCCGAAGCTACGGGGCCACAAGCCCATCACTAAGTGCGTGAGAAAGGTGCCCTGGAAACGGCATCCGGGCTGGGGGGGAGTCGTCTCCTCTCCGTCTCCCTCTTAAGGCCTGGGGGTTCTCGGTGCCAGGGCGGTGATCCGCGTCCGCAGGTTGCAGACCTGACAAGCCTGCCCCGCCATCCCTGCGGCCGTGGCTTCCCTGTGTGTGGCGTGCGAGTGTCTACACGCAGTCCAGTCCCCCTTTCACACACTCGAAGGGCCCCGCACACGCAGGACAGAGCAGGGGCTGGAGCTGCCACAGAGGTGGCCAGATGCTTTTGACCCTTTGGTTTCTCATCTGTAATCGGAGTAAGGTTCAGTTCGAAAGTTCCGCTATGTCGCACTCGTTATGACCTTTCTTTGGATGGTTTCCTGTACATGCCACCAGGTGCTAGGAGATTTATTAGAAAAGAGGGTCTAGTCCCGGGTGTCTCGGATGCCCCAAACTGCCCTGCCATCCACGTGTATTCTCTAGGGCCTCAGGAGTAGCTGTTACAAGTTTGCCCAAAATCTTTTCATGGAATTCTCTTTGTTCCTGAATTTCCTGATGTTCATCCAGTTTTTCAGCCCCTGTTTTTATAACCTGAAAAGAGCAAGTTGTGTCACTCCTTTTTGGGACAAAATAAAGGGCCAAGGGAGAGTTTTTGGAGCCTATGCAGCGGGAGTACTTGCCTCCTGGTGAGAAGATAGTCAGGAGCAGGAGCCAGGGTTCCCCCAAGCTGGAGGTGTGCTGAGGGAGGGCATCCTGCAGTCAGGACTTTATCAGTGGTGAGGAGATGGCTCATGTCAGTGTGGGGCGCTGAGGTGGGAGAGAAGCTGAGCTGTCTGGGCTTTGTGGCAAGGATGGGCCCCCAGGCCAAAGGAGTGCGAGGGAGGTGCTGTCCAGGGTGACACTGGCCCAAGGGGGCGACTAGGACAAGAGCTGCGGCAGAGGGTGAAGCAAATCTGGAGTGGGAGAAGGCACCTGGTGAGCAAGGGGAGGAGGGCCCCAGGCCTTGGGAGAGATCTGCCCCTGAAGTCCAGGCCACCCAGGGTCAGTCAGGTCCTGGGGAACAACACATCCTGGGTCGCCAGGAAGATGGCCAATGCAAAGCCTTCACATAGGGTTTCTGCAGATGCAAGAGAAGGGCTGTAGTCTGTGGCCTGGGACTGGGAGGCTTACCCTATGTGCCCCTTTACAGCCCTGATGAAATTACTAGGCATCCCAGGGTCTTGTTAGCTCTTCAGATGAGGTCTTGTCCCCAAGGACCCTCGTCTTCAGGAGGCCCACGCATGTGTCACAAAGCCTGTACTGGCTCCAGCTGGGCAGCGTGGGGATTTGGAGTTAGCAAATTCTGTTCACTTGGAGGAAGATGAGTTGGGGCGTTGTAGCTTTGGTGTGTAGCTGAGCTGTTGTAGCTCTGCTGATTGATGACACTGTACTCCAGGAGGGAGCCAGTTCCAGTCCCTGATTTCTTTTTTTTTTTTTTGAGACAGAGCCTCAAGCTGTCCCCCTGGGTAGAGTGCTGTGGCATTACAGCTCACAGCAACCTCCAACTCCTGGGCTCAAGCGAGTCTCTTGCCTCCGCCTCCCAAGTAGCTGGGACCACAGGCGCCCGCCACAACGCCCGGCTATTTTTTTTTTTGGTTGCAGCCATCATTGTTGTTTGGCAGGCCCGGGCTGGGGATTCGAACCTGCCACCTTAGTTGTACGTGGCTGGCGCCTTAGCCGGTTGAGCTATAGGTGCCGAGCCCAGTCCCTGATTTCTTAAGGCTGCATGGCCTATGTCCATTTCTTCAGGGTGGCCCTCTGGACTAAGTGTGGGGACCTCTGGGGCTGCCCTGAGCGGTGAATGAAATGGAGCTCAGACTTTCTTAGCAGAACAGGAGCTTTAGGCAGAACCTGGGGGCAGCCAAGGCCCTGAGGGCCAGGTAAGGGCTCCTGAACATACACCTCACCCTGGTCTCCCAGGAAAGAGATGGTACAACTGCCAAGCCAAGATGACACATTTGCCCTTCACCAGCTTCCCCTTTTAGCCCGGTCTTCACACAACTGCGCCGGGGACCAGGTGTCACTTTGCTGGTTTAGTCTCAGTGGAGGTAGGTATTTATCAGGACAGAGATTGCTGGCTGGGAGAGTCCTGATCACTCCTGCGGATGCTTGCCAGCCTCCTGCACCTCCTGCTCTTATAGGCCAGTGCCTGCCAGGCTCCTCCATGTTTTTCAGCTTCCCAAATCTTGGCCATCGCATGCACTGTGTCCTTCAAATCATCTTGTTAGTCCTTTATTTTGTTTTTATGGGTCTAAATTGGCATTTGGAGCTGGGCCATTCCTTCGTGGGGGCTGGCTTGCACATTGCAGGGTGTCGGCAGCATCCCTGCCTCCATCCACTGGATTCCAGCAGCACCCCCTCCCAGCTTTGACACCAAAATTGTGCTCAGGCATTGCCAAGTGCACTGGAGGGCAGACCCACACCCTGTTGAGAATGGTTGCCCTACATGAAACATGAGCCAGTTGGCAGACAGCACTGGAGGAAACTGAACACTCAGAAGTTAGAGGGCCAGTGAGGGTCAGGTTACAGGGTCTAAGGAGGCCTCTTGGCCCCTCACAGGCACTAAGCCTCCCAGTGAACCTATGTCCCAGATATCTGGGGCCAGAGAGGTGGTGAGGCCACTGAAAAGGGGCTACTTCCACTTAAGTTCTGATTTATGTGTCAGGTTCTTATGAGTTTGGTTCATGGGAATCAGTCTTGAAAAGGGTAATTGAAGGCAGCAGCAACCAGCCAGGTTGGACTCAGGAAATGGCACCAATGTCATGTCTTGGAAGGAAGCCAGTGGCCTCCTTGGGGGGGAATCTAGACTGTACCCCCAAACTGTGGAAAGACCAATGAACAGTAAGCAAGTCAGAAAAAGATGTTGTGACAAAGTATCAGCAAGCAGATGGAAGGGTTCTGCAGCAAACCTGGGGAGCCACAGCAGTCCATGCAGAATGAAAGTAAGCCATGGAAAAAGTAGTTGAAAACAGAATATTTATCCCAAATGTAGAGGACACTTATTGAGGACTAAAGATAGAATATAAAAGTAAAAGTGCAACAACTTTGGCTAGTAGGAAAGTTAAATTTTTGCACAATACAAAATATTTAACAGTAAGAACACTGATTAGGGACAATATCTGCCACCAACACAAGAGGCCATGACCACAGCTGTCACAGGAGCATTCACGTGAGCTACAGGATTTGACATGCATGCCGTGAGAGGACATAGGGAGTACTCGGACATGCCAGTGTTCAACTTAACCAGGAAACAGACACAGGGAAGACAAAGAAGTGTGAACAACACAGACCACCAGCTGAATTGCTGTGGCCAAGGCTGCAGGGACACACAGGCTGATGGGTCTGTGTGTAGTGCTTCCTAAACTACTGGGGCCTCAGGGCCAGGGGGAGGTGCAGACAGACAGGTGGGAGCTGAGGGGCCACAGGCTGAGAGGTTCTTCAATTCAGGATCCCTTGAAGGCCCCTGAAGCCATCTGCAAGGACAACTGCAGGGGCACAGCGTCCTCCCTGCTAGGCTGGGAAGTCACCACCATGGCCTGGCAGGGATCCCAGGGGGACTGTGGCAAGGACACTCTGCTTGCCCTTGGTGCACTGGATTTGAAGAGAAAGCAGATACCAAGCACTGGATGCACAAGGCTCCTGAAGTGCAGGCAGCCATGCCCAGAGCAGTCTCCCTGCCGGAGGGACAGCATGTTTGGAGCAGGACCCAGAGTCCACACCATCTTCTTCAGGGCTTGACTCCATTTCCCTGGGCCTCAGCTGTTCTCCAGTGACCTTGGAGATGCCTTTGTCCTGTCCTGGCTCCCCAAGAACCCTGCTTCAACACCAACTCTGTCTTGTTTCAGAGCAAATGTTGGACTCTCCCCAGAGGCTGTGGCCTTTCTCCCTGGTGTGAGGCCACGAGACTTTATGGCCAGTCCTGCTTCCTCTGCAGCATGTCTTGGTGTCTCAGCTCACTCACACTGAAAAGGAATAATCACTTCCTGATGCCCGAACTGGGGACTGATGTGAGAGGTTGCCAGGAATAAAGCCCAAATGCCCTCCCTCCCCAGCGTGGAAGAGAACAGGGAGGGCTGTGCCACCTAGAGCGGGGCGTGTCCCCAGACTTCTGGTGGTGGGACAGGCACCCCTCCCAACTTCTCCCACAGCCATGCCAAGGCCTGTGGGGACAGATGCTGGCACAGACACTCAACAGCAGGTCCCCAGGGCAGAGATGAAACAGTGGGAAGTTCTCTGTGCTCAAAGGCCCAGCTGGAGCCATCCTAGTCACTGCTTGTTCAGAGGAATGAGACTCAGTGGGCAAAGCCTGCTGGTCATGGCAGTCATGGAGGGCTGGCTTGGACATTGTGCCTCTGAGAAGCTTCTGGGTTTTTGCTTTAATTTTTCCCTGCAATGAGAACCCTGATGCTTGGCTAAAGGGTTCTCACATCTCCCCCAAACATTCCTCAGGAGGTTCTGAACATCCAGTTGGCTCCCAGAACTCCCCTCTAAGAGGCCACACTGAGGTCAGATGGAGCTGCCTCCATCCCTGCTAATGCAGCTCTGCAGTGGCCTGTTGACAGTGTGTGGGAACCAAGTGATGGAGCTCCCTGCAGGGGCTTCCAGCCATCAGGCCTCTCAGATAAAACTTCCCTGCACTTACCCTGCTTCACCCTCCCCAACCCCTCCCTGGGGCCACGGTGGCCCAGCCTTATACTGGGCTGGTCCTGGGTGGGAGCCTGCTCCGGACAAGGCCTCCTGTCTTCTCCCCAGAGTGGCTTCCTTCTGTCCATTCTTGGTCTCCACTCTGCCTCTGAACTCAGGAGCGAAGCTGGTCCCTCTGTGCACATCTCATCAGGAGCTGCTTGCTTCAGGGGTGATCTGCTCTAACAGCCTGGACAGGAGGAGAAAGACCTGGGTCAGTAAGGAAGTACAGTTACTACCTAGTTCCCTGTGGGTGAAAATCAGGCTGTGAAGGCAAGAAAATGGCTTTGGGCAGCTAGAAAACTGGCATGGTCAGCGGCACCTCAGGATGGGAGTGGAGTGGGTGCAAGCTCAGCACCCTGATGGTAACACATTCATGGGAAAGCACTTCCTATTTTTGTAAAAGAACCTAAGAAAGTCAGGAGAAAATTCAACACACACAAGGTAAGAGTGCATGTGGGGGCCCAAAGAGGTCAGCAGTCACATCCCCAGGCACCCTCCTCTGGCCCAACTACTCCAGAGGCTGAGGCAAGAGGATCACTTAAGCCCAAGATCGTTGGGCACGGTGGCTTATGCCTATTATCTTAGCACTCTGGGAGGCTGAGGCAGGTAGATTGCTTGAACTCAGGAGTTTGAGACCAGTCTGAGCAAGGTAGAGACCCCACCTCTAAAATAATACCTGCGCATTGTAGCAGGTGCCTGTAGTCCCAACTACTCCAGAGGCTGAGGCAAGAGGATCACTTAAGCCCAAGATCGTTGTGAGCTGTAAGGCCATAGCACTCTACCAAGGGTGACATAATGAGACTCTGTCTCAAAAAAAATCTAATATAATCTTTTCTTTTACAATTTGTACCTTTTAATATCTTGTTTAGGAATTCCTCTTCTACACTGAAACTGTATAGCTCTTTTCCTGTATTTATTTCTAAAAGTTTGAAAATCTCTTAATCTATCTGAGACTTTTCCTCAAACAGGCTGAGGTGCAGATCCCATCTACCTTCTTTTCTGTAAGGATGATCTTGGGTTTCACTGCCGGGTACAGGCCACCCACCCCCCGCCCTGAGGGCCAGTCACCAGCCTCAACTTCCTATTTTATAAAGGTCTGGTTTCTGGCAGGGCAGGTTCCCCACACCTTCATCTGACTTTCCTCAATGTCTCGGTAATTTAGGATCCACAATGAAAGTGGCTGGGATTTTGGTTACATTTATACTGATTCTAAGCTAATTTGGGGAAGAACCAATATCTTTTTTTTTTGAGACAGAGTCTCACTATGTTACCCTTGGTAGAGTGCCCTGAAATCACAGCTCTTGGTGACTGACTTCCAACTCTTGGTCTTAAGCAATCAATCCTCTTGCCTCAGCCTCCCAGTAGCTGGGACTACAGGCGCCAGCCACAACACCTGGCTGTTTTGTTGTTGTTGTTATTGTTGTCATTGTTGTTTAGCAGGCCCTGGCCCGGTTCGAACATACCTTCCAGCCATGGTGCATATGGCTGGTATGGGCACTGAGCCAAGAACATCTCGATAATTTTAGAACCTTCTATCAACTATCAATAAAATGGTACATCACCTTCGTTTCCTTACATATATAAAAAAATTTCCTACATAAAGGGCTTGCATATTTTAATTGCTATAATAATCTTTTAAAAATTGCATTTAAAGGGCGGTGCCTATGGTTCAGTGGGTAGGGCACCAGACTCATATACTGAGGGTGGCGAGTTCAAACCCAGCCTTGGGCAAACTGCAACAAAAAAATAACCAGGCATTGTGGTGGGCACCTGTAGTCTCAGCTATTCGGGAGGTTAAGGCAAGAGAATCACCTAAGCCCAGGAGTTGGAGGTTGCTGTGAGCCATGTGATGCCACGGCACTCTACCGAGGGTGAGGAAGTGAAACTGTGTCTCTACCAAAAAAAAAAAAAATTGCATTTAAAAATTGCATATCAAGGGCAGCACCTGCGGCTCAGTGAGTATGGTGCTGGCCCCATATACTGAGGATGGTGGGTTCGAACCCGGCCGGCCAAACTGCAACAAAAATTTAGCTGGGCGTTGTGGTAAGCGCCTGTAGTCCCAGCTTCTTGGGAAGCTGAGGCAAGAGAATCACCTAAGCCCAAGAGCTGGAGGTTGCTGTGAGCTATGATGCTACAGCACTCTACGGAGGGTAACAAAGACTCTATCTCTCTAAAAAAAAAGATGCATATCAAGTTTAATTTTTTCATTGTAGTAAATTATAATATTTATTATTTTAACTATTTGTCAAAGTATACAGTGGCATAAGACATGATTTCATGCACCCATCACCACTGTCTACACCCATAAGTGTAGACCAATGCCCAGTAGACTGGGTGACTTCTAAACAACAGAAATTTATTTCTCACGGTTCTGGCGGCTAGAAGTCTGAGAACAGGGTGCCAACAGGGTCTGGCTGCAGACGGCCATCTTCCTGTTGTGTCACATGGTAGAAGAAGGCCAAGGGAGCTCTCTGGCTTCCTCTAAGGGCCTGAATCCCACTCCTGAGGGCAATACCTGCATGACCTCTTTATCTCCCAAAGGCCCCTCCTAACACCATTACTTGTGTGTCAGGATTTCAACACAAGAATTTTGGGAGGAACAAACATTCATTTCCCCTGCATCCATCACCCCAGTATAAGTTCTGTTCCCAGTGAACAGTAACTCTAGCCCAGAGGTCTCAACCTGTGGGTCATGACCCCTTTAACAATAAAAATACAATGCAGCATTAGGAAGGTTGAGAAGTACTGCAGTCTAGCCCTCGTAACCACTATTCTACTTTCTGTATTTGCCACTCTAGGTACCTCTTCTGAGTGGAATCCTATCTGGTTTATTTCTCTAAGCATCAATTGTCAATCCTGTTTTCAAGGTTTATTGATGAATCAAAATTTCACTCTTTTTTTTTTTTTGAGACAGAGTCTCACTATGTTGCCCTCAGTAGAGTGTTATGGCATCACAGCTCATAGCAACCTCCAACTCTTGGGCTTAAGTGATTCTCTTGCCTCAGCCTCCCAAGTAGCTGGGACTACAGGCACCCAGCACAACACTCAGCTATTTTTTTACTGCAGTTGTCATTGTTGTTTAGCAGGTCTGGCTGGGTTCAAACCCACCAGCCTCAGTGTATGTGGCTGGCACCATAACCACTGTGCTACAGGTGCTGAGCATATATATATATACACACACACACATATATGTATGTATATATATGTATACATTATTTTTTTGAGACAGGGCCTCAGTTTGTTGCCCAAGCTAGAGTGCAGTGATTCATAGCTCATAACAGCCTCCAACTCCTGCCTCAGCCTCTTGGCTAGCTAGGACTACAGGTGCCCACCACCACACTTGATTGATTTTTTTTTATTTTTTGTAGAGATGGGGTCTTGTTATGTTGCTCAGGCTGGTCTTGAACTCCTGGCCTTGAGTGATCCTCCCACCTCAGATTCCCAAAGTACTGGGACTTATAGGCATGAGCCACCATGCCCGGCCTGAAAAATGTTATCTTTTGTTTTCCACACTGATTTTGTCAATGTAGGTCCTGTCTATTCTGGAAGAGGTATCTAGTGCTGACAGCTGTCATGGCCATTGCTCTGCACACAGGTACAGATACTTGGACTCATTAAGAACACTAACCCCTCGGCTCGGCGCCTGTGGCTCAAGTAGCTAAGGCACCAGCCACATATACCTAAGGTGGCAGGTTCAAATCCAGCCCGGGCCCACCAAACAACAATGACAGCTGCAACCAAAAAATAGCCAGGTGTTGTGGCGGGAGCCTGTGGTCCCAGCTACTTGGGAGCCTGAGGCAGGAGACTGACTTGAGCCCAGGAGTTGGAGGTTGCTGTGAGTTGTGATGCCACAGCACTCTACCCGGGGGATAGCTTGAGGCTCTGTCTCAAAAAAAACCAGAACACTAACCCCTGACTGGAGCTGACATCTGTTAAATAATCAGTAGGAACCACTCTGAGCTCAGGACTTCACATATTGTACCTCTAGACTCTTGGCACTCCTATGAGGCTAAGCAATGTCCATGTTCCCATTTCATATTTGAGGAAAATGAGGCAAAGGTCCCACAGCTCCAGAGTAAGCCCACAACTTGTGACTCCAGAGCTAGGCTCTGTACCACAAACCAAAGACATCAGTTAAAATACATTTTTATCTCTCCCAATGAAAAGGCAAGGATTAAGAACCCACCGAGACACCACTGGAGAGGCAGAAGTGGACCTGCATCTGTGCGTGCTGCAGGCATCTAAGTGGGCGCATCCGGGCAAGGTCTTTGGCAATGTGTCATTCTGCATCTGGGGGTCCATCCTACAGCCTTAAACGGAGAAAAGATCTTTATCACACCATTCTTTATAGTCACCTAACCCAGAAAGAGCCTATGTACCTGTATAAGGGAACAGTTACATCAATTCTGGCTGTTCTATTCCATGGATCTCCATGCAGTCATTAAAAGTAATGCTTCCCATTCTGGGGAAAATTATCATAACATTATAACAAGTAAAAATCAAACTAAATGCAGATGCTACCAAGGCATCTGAGTGTGTGTCCTGGGCTGTCCATAGCTGTCACCCTGCCAGGCACATGGAGACAGCAGGATGCTGCTATGAACAGTCCCCACCCAAGTTTCCTTCCACCTCCCAATCCAGGCTTCTTGACTCCCTAGGCCAGCTCCTATCTGCAGCATGTGACTCTGAATGTCTCTCAGATGCTCAGAAAGCTCACAAGGATAGGTAACAAACTCTCACACACCCTCCTCCTAGAGCAGAGATTTGCAAACAAGCCATATCTGGCCCATTGCCTATTTTTGTGAATAAAGTTTTATTGGCACACAGCCATGCCTGCTGCTCACATGCTATCTGCCACTGCTGCTGCCCTACACGGTGGTTGAGTTGTGGCATATACCAGTGGCTGCAAAGCCAAGAACAGTTACTATCTGGCCCTTTATATAAAAAGGCCAGCCAACTCTTGCCCTAGTTTCATGAATGACTGACATGTAGCCAATCTGCTTTGTCATTTTCTCAGTACCCATCTGCATACTTTCATTATTTTTTTGCTGAGCATTTCAGAGTAAGTTGCAGACATCATGATCCGTGCCAGGTAACCTTAGCATGCATCTCAGCAAGGCCTTCACCTAAGAGGGCCATTGTCCTTGAAGAGCTGATGCTGAGCTGCCACCCAGGCCACAGTCAGGTTCCAGGTCCAGCTGCCACCCAGGCCACAGTCCAGGTTCCAGGTCCCCCAAAGCCTTTTCAGCAGCTCTTCCATTCCAGGATCTCATGTGACCTGTCTCCCAGGCAGCTGACCCCTGCTTTTGCATAATTTTACCTTATCAGTTCTCTCTTTCTGGGATCACAAGGCTTCCTCTCCTGAAGACAGCTATCTAAGGAGTCCAGCCCAGGCAGGGTAGCTCCAGGGAACAATGGCACAAGAAGATCCCAGAGAGAGGGCCCCCCCGCCGAACATTCTGGCCTAAGGAAGAATGGTGCTGCCCAGGTCCACCTGCAGTATCCAGGAACAGTCCAGGTGAACTAGGGCTGCCCTCCACCTCGTTTTCCTCACCCTCATGCATCAAGCAGTGAGCTGACCAAGCTCCAGGGAGCCAGACTGGGGAGACAGGTCTGTGCCCTGGCAGTGTGGTACCCAGTCATGGCACAGGCAGGCACACAATAGTACGGGACATGCCCCCTACCCCGACTACCGGGAAGGAGGATGTGAAGGCCAACACATCCTCAGTCCCAACATGGCAGGGCCAGCAGGTGACCACAACTACATAAACAAAGCATGTATTCTGAGGTCCTTCCTTCTGGACCAGCCTGCTGAGGTTCACAGCCAGCCCAGGGCAGGAGTGCTGCTCCTGACCCTGAAGATTCCTCTGTTATGATGGCCTAGGACAGGACCTGACTGGGGATGTGTGGCTGGGCTCTGAGACCTGTGGTGTAGGAAGCTGACTGGGCCAGAGACTAAACCATGGCAGGCTTTCACTTAGTTTGTACTAGTTCTAGCTGTGATTTCTTTTGGTGGTGGTGTGAGAACTGGTGCTCACCCCCTTGGGAAATGGGAGAGAGAAGCCGGGGCTAAGGAGCCCCACACAGTGCCCAGGTTCTATGAGCCACAAGGTGGATTCCTTGGGCCACGCTGGCCAGTGTGAGCAGTCAGGAGAAGACAGATGCTTGGTGTGTATTTAGGAAAGTTCTTAAAATAAATCTGTGAGAACAGGGATTGAAAGCACTCTTGAAGGTGGAAGGGGAGGCTTGCCCCAGGCCATCTCTCAGGGTGGCAATTTCATACGCTGTCAGAGGCCAGCTGGGCCCACACACAGGCATTAGTGTGTTTCAGCTTTTAGACTGAACCTGATAGTTTCAGGTAGAAACTATCTATCCTAGAAGTAGATAGAAAACCCTCATAGTTTCCACCAGGCCACAAGTATTCTCTATCATTTGGGGTGGCTCTCTCCCTTGACTGTTTTCTGTGACTGCTTGAGGAACATTTGTGGCTCTAACTTGGGACCCTTCTCTAAGAATCCTCAAAGACTAAAGCCATTACTAGTTTTCTGTGTCCACCTGAAAACATAGGTGCCAACTTTTCCCAGTAAAAAACCATTATTTACTTCCTGACTGAGAAAGTCATGTAACATTGCTGCCCTCTTATAAACCACAGGTCCACCGGACAGCAGGTGCCCCACACAGACCACTCTTGGCTGGACACCAAGGGAGGAGCCTTGTAGAAGAGGGAGCTACATGGAAAGCCAACTTACCTGAATGCAGGGCTGTCATGGGGCTGGGGTCACCACTCACATCTGAAAGTGTGACAACAGACTGGATGGAGGCTGCTGTCAGCAGCTGGGGGCTCCACCCCTCGGTTGTGAGGAAGTTACCCATAGTGGCGGGTTTAAGGCCTGAGGAGCCCAGGTCCCCGGGTGTTCTCTCCATGTGAGTCAGGCCATCCGTCTGGCATGACTGCTGGGCCAGGACACATGGTATGGCCCAGTTCTGGCGGCTGGCACTCCAGTCAGAAGACAAACCACAGGATGGTCACTGAAACCAGGTGAGCAGAGATCAGTGGGGTCTGGCACAGCCCAGTGGGCACCTGGGTCACCAGAGCTCACTGCAGTGCATTCTTGTCTACTGTGGGGACCCAGAGGGCAGAGTCCACAGGCTGGAGCCTTGAAAGGGCCCAAGCAGAGTGGTGGCAGGAGAAGCTGGTCCATGGCATGGGGGCCTCTCCCGCTGGGTGTACTTGTGCAGCATGATGGCAGCTGTTATGCTCGCCTGTCTCTGTTGCTGGTCCCAAGGGCATCATGAAGCCTGGCAAAGTGGCCTGTAGCTGCACAGGGTCTTGAAGAGCTTCCACAGGATCTTGCTGTCTTGACCTAAAGGGGTCATCTGGAGTGAGAAAGGCCTCTGGCCTGCCTGCGTGTGCCCACATCCCATGGGGTTGATTTTCCTGGGCACAACAGGGACCAGCAGCCTGAGGCACATGACTCCAGGCCTGGACTGGACATGGAATGAAAGAGGAGGAGGGAGTCCCCCCAGGCCTGCCAGGGAGAAGTGAGCAGCAGCTTCCCTGTGCTCAGGGCTTCTTCCGCGGGTGGCGCTTCCGATGGCGAATGAGACAGGAACTGTAGGCAAAGGCTTTCCCGCACTCCTTACATTCATAAGGCTTCTCCCCAGTGTGCGTCTTCTGGTGCTTCAGGAGATTGGAGCCGCAGTTGAAGGCCTTCCCACACTCCCCACACTTGAAGGGCTTCTCTCCAGTGTGAATCCTCTGATGTTTGGTGACGTCCGAACTGTGCCGGAAGGTCTTCCCACACTGATCACACTTAAAGGGCTTTTCTCCAGTGTGTACTCTCTGATGGCGGATATGATCTGTCTTGTGCTTAAAGATTCGCCCACATTCACAACATTCATAAGGTTTCTTCCTCTGAAAAGGAATGAACACAGGAACTCCCTCAAAGTCATCTTTAAAGGAAGCATCGAAGGCGTCAAAGATGTGCTCTTCGTCCTCAGGACTCAAGCCTGGCTCCTTACTGTGCTTTCTGGCCAGGGTGGATCTCTTGTTTGACTTTTTCCCCCCAACTGCTTTTTCTTCTTTGGGAACATCCTTCTGCACGTCTGCTTCCTCCACTAGGAGCTGTGTTTTCTTTTTTCTGCCTGCAGGCTTTTCCATCTTTCTCTCTGCTCCTTGGAAGCTGTGTGACTAAGGGTCTGCAGCCTGAGCTGCTAGAACTTTGGGGAGGCACCCCCCCTCTCTGGCTCCACCTCCTTGGGAATGTTCCATGTTCCCAGTGTGTGACTGACACTATACACCAGGAGGGAAAGAGCTGCCTGTCCTCTTGCTGCTGCAGAGAAGACCACAAATATGAGATCTCACACATGTTTAAGGGAACAGGATGGCAAGTGTTGAAAAGGGGACATGGGGGGCAGCCCCTCCCTCCCCACATGCTCCTCAGTGAGCACCCCAAACTGAACTCTTGACCTCCCAGAGCCCCACCTAACTCACTCTCCCATTGCCCAAGGAATCCTTACTACTCTGCCAGGGGACAGTTCTGACCACCCTGTGGCCACATCAAGACGACAGGCACATGTACGAATGTCTGCTCCATGGCTGTTCCTGCTCCACATCCCCAAATCTGCCTGTTCTTGTCTCACTCCTCTACCATCCTGTGCTTGGGGACAGTCATGTGCTTTGGAGCTACAGACTGCAGAAGCCCCATGCCTGTAGCGGGGGACCTCATCTTCTGGAGGCTAGACTCCTAGCTGGCCCACAGCTGCTATCTCAGACCCGTGATGGCCTTGCTGGGATGCACAGGCACTGTGTGCCTCTCTCTTATCAATCCCCTTGCCATCCCTGCCTTCTCTGGGTTTCTTAAACATACCTAATCTTCTCTGCCTCTGTGCTGGGCTCACCCCAACTCCTCACCCCCCAGAGCTCTGCTCCGATGGCCCCTTCTCGGAGGTGCCTCTGACTGGTGACATGCCTCCCATGCTGCCCCCTTTTCCTGGCACTTCACAGGGCTTCAGCCCTCCTCATTATGTTTTAACTAGTGTGGGTAGTTCCTCTTCACTGTGCTCCACAGCAGCTCTTGGTACACAGAAGTGCCTCACTAAACATCTGCTAAATGACTGAAAATTGAAATGCTGTCACTCAGAGCACACAGCCAAGTTAGAGCACTTATGTGGAATCAGTGTGTTCAGTCCTTGTCCTCCCCATCTACCCAGGTCCCATGGGAGTGAGCGGCAGCACCCCCCTTCTCTGCAGCCCAGGGCTGTTCCCACCTGGACTTAGGATCAAAGCCCCTGGTGGCCATGAGCCAGGACCTGCTTATACTACCTGGACATTATTCCACATAAATGTCTTTCATAAGTTCTGAGGGGAGGGGAAGATCTCATATTTCCCGCCCATCATCTCATGTAATAGCATCTCCATCTCACCACAAATTCAGGTTAAGAATCAGCCATCCCAGTGACTGGGCAGGCCCTGGTGTCTATAGATGTATCTCCCGGCATGGCAGTTTCTTTTCCATATCTTTTTTGAGTTTCCTGGCCTGCCTCTTTCCCTTGGTGCTAACTAATTAAACTCCAGTGTAAAGCATTGAAAAACATCAGGCTCTTTTACCTGACAGTGAAAGAAATCTCTACAAGATTAGGAGTTCCCTTGCAACTCCAGGGAAAGCAGGTCATGGCGTGACCCCCCACACCACCTTCAAGAAGGTGTTCTCAGCAGAGAATCCCCATGTCCTGGGATGGCTACCCCACTAGGGGTCCACAATCCTAATAGCCGTCTTACCCAAAAAAGTAGTGTTCTCAGTCATAACATTCCAAATTCTTTGTATTAGTTCTTGGTCAACCAGGCAGCACTGCAAGCTGAGGTTGAGCTTTAGTAGGAAATAGAGCTGACACACAAGTCACATACTCGCAGGCTTCACTGCGTCAGTACTTCCAATCCTCCATAATCGAGGAGGATGCCTGGCCTTCCTCATCTTCTTTCCCCATACATGCAGGTAATGCATAAAATGCCCTTATACCAGCTAGTTGGGAGGCTGAGGCAAGAGAATCGCGTAAGCCCAAGAGTTTGAGGTAGTGGTGAGCTGTGATGCCACAGCACTCTACCAAGGGTGACATACTGAGACTCTCCCTCAAAAAAAAAAAAGCCCATATAAATTTCATATCTCAACAAGGAGTTTGAGAGTCTAGTCTTTTTCGAATAAATGTGTTTAGATAAATTGGGTTCAGTATCAGGCCAACATCACTTTCTGAGGGGTTCTACGTGGAGGTAACTTCTGGTAGAAGGTAGTTCTCAGGTTCCGGTTGGAGCCAGAACTGAAGATAATGGAAAGGCTGAAGGGAAGATGTTGGAATCAGGTGGCAGCTCGACTGGGAAGGGCAGGGGCTACCCTGATGACTGGGGGCAAAGAATCACAACCCCAGTCAACCAGGCTGCAGACTGAGGCATGGGATCTAGCTTTAGAGGGAAAGAGAGGTAAAAACCAAGAACCAGTACAAAAGGGCAAACAGCCCTCATGCTTCCGGCAGTGGGGGCTGAACTATAGGAGCCACTGGGCTCTAGATGGAGTCCACTTGATGGAAGGGAGTGGCCTGGGAACTCAGGGAACCAGACACTGCTGGCCCCAGGCCTGTGGGGGTCCTCTGTGTGCCACAGCACTTTTTCCTCCATCAGGACACCTGTCACTCCACCTGTGAAGTGGCACTCACGTGCCAGTTTCCTCAGGCAGGGATTCCTGAGGGCAAAGAGCTTGTCTTTCTCTTCCCCAAATCCCTGTCAAAGACTGTGCTCAGAAACCATTCTTTTCTTGTTTGTTTTTAGCAGGCCTGGGCTGGATTCGAACCCATCAGCCCCAGTGCGTGTGGCCAGCACCCTAACCACTGAGCTACAGGCACCCAGCCTCAGAAACCAATCTTGATAACAGTCTTGTCTGCTCAAATCAAACTGGCAGGTGCTTAAAGGCGGAGACTGGAATTCTCACTTCTCTGCTCACTGTGCACGCTGAGAAGTAAAATACATGTTAAAAACAGTGGACCACCAAGAGCATCTCCTTGGCCTCTTCATTTCATAGGCCCACAGTCCTGAGTATTACAGCTACACAGCCAACTCAACCCGCGCCTACACGGGCAGATGACAGCCCTGACGCAAAGGCTCTGGGCCTGCTGTACAACCCTATAGGAGCTCCTCTACCTCTTCGGGTCTCCATCAGCTGGGGGCTACCCAGGAAACCTCATCTACCCTATAGCCTCCCGCCTCCAGGAACCCAGGTGTCAGGGGCAGACTGAGTTATTAGTGGGCTTGCGATTCAAGGCCAAACAGCCTTTTGGGTCCACAGCCCACCAGGTAGTTGCGATGCAAGCCTTTCAAACCCGGCGGGGAGGAGGAGCCCCGAGGGCCTCCGCCCTTCTGGAAGAGCGGCGCGTCCCCTCCCGCCTGGAGCGCGGCGGGCAGCGGGTGAGGGGACGCGGCCACCCATCAGCCGGGCGGGTTCTGACGCCGCGCGCCCCAGACCCGACGCGGCGGCAGGAGCCCCGAGTACCTGGCTGGAGACGTGGCCGGAGACGGCCGGAGGGTGGGGCGGGGCAGGTGCGCCCTAGCCGGGGACCGCAGCTGGAGACCGCGCCGCCTCCCCGGAGCCCCGGCCACTCCAGTCCTACCGGCGCCGGCCCCGGCCGGGTCAGCCCAGCCGGCTCAAACGGCTCTCGGAAGCCGCAGGAAGCGCCCGCCCACAGACCCGCCCCTTCCGGTGTCACTCTAGGAGCCGAGGCTCGGTCTCGGTGGTGGTGTGCGGCTCAGAGCCCCCAGCCCGGCACCGTCCGTCCCCGACCCGACCCACCTCGCCTCCGCCTCGACCCTGCCCCGTTCAACCCAGACCCCTGCCTCCTCCTTCGGCCTGCGCCTCAGCCCCCCTGGCTGGCCCACTGCCCGGGCCTCCTCATCCTTCCACCCCTGGCCCAGGTCCCGCCCTCGTCCGCGCCCTCGTCTCAGCCTCAGCTCCTGAACGCTGCCCGCCCCCCGCCCCGCCCCGCCCACAGCCCCGCCCACTCCCGTCCCGGCCCCTGTCCCCAGCCCCGCCTCAGCTTCGGATCCCTGCCGCGGCCGGGCCCCGCCTCCCCGCCCCGCTTAAATCTTGCCCTGCACAGCCGGGCCTGCGTCCCTTCGCTCACCGCAGCCTTTGCTTCCTGTCCCTCTTCGCGTCCATTACCCGCTGAATCCCTCCCCGGGCCCCCCCCCCAGTCTCTCGGCCCCGCTCATACCCTGCACAGCCCGGGCTGCGGCCCTGTGCCCACCGCAGCCCCCGCTTCTCGTCCCTCTCCAAGTCCCTTCCCCGCTGCGTTCTTCCCTGGCCCCGCTCCCGCCCCTCTCGGCCTCGCTCATCGCCGGCTGGTCCCGGCCTTCGGCCCAGGCCGGTTCCTGCCTCTAGTCCCGGGCCGGGCTCCGCCCTCCGCCCCATTTCAGTCCCCTCCACCGCCCTCTGGGCGAACCCGGCGGCTTGGTGATCTCTAGCAGGTGGCGGCCACGGAGGGAGGCGACTTGCCCCTGTGGACGTTACCTGCCGTGCGTTCCCGTCTGCGCGGCCTGCCTTCAGAGATCCCCCACATCCCGAGTCCGCCTGACCACCTGTGTGCATTGGTTTCCTGGTTTCCACACATTCAGTGGCTTAAAACGACACCCATCTGTGTTCCTGAGGGCCAGAAGGCCGGACTTAGCTGGGGGCCCTGCTCCGTGGACGAGGCTGCTCGCAAGGTGCCAGCGGAGCTGCGTCCTCATGGGGGGAGAGGGGGCAGGCGTGGTTGGTGGCTGCTGGGCCAGCCAGGCTGGAGCTACTGCGAGCACCCAGAGGCTGCCTCTGCAGGGCGGCGAGAGAGTCTCCCTGGCCCAGCTCAGAGGGAGACTTAGGTAACATCCCTTAATCACAGGGGTGACAGCCCATCCCCTGTGCTTTGTTCTGCTCAGAATCCTGTCACGACTGCCACCTGCACCCAGGGGAGGACTGCCACCTGCACCCAGGGGAGGGCGGGCACAGCACCAACTGTGTGCCCTCCTTAGGGAAGTGCGGCTGCACGGTCATCCACAGCTTATGCCTCAGCCCCAGAGGCGCTCCTTTTTTTTTTTTTTTTGAGACAGAGTCTCACTTTATCGCCCTCAGTAGAGTGCTGTGGCGTCACAGCTCACAGCAACCTCCAACTCTTGGGTTTAAGTGATTCCTTGCCTCAGCCGCCGTAGTAGCTGGGAGTACAGGCGCCTGCCGCAATACCCAGCTATTTTTTGTTGCAGTTGTCAATATTGTTCTAGCTGGCCCCGGGGTGGGTTCGAACCCATCGGCCTCAGTATATGTGGCTGGCGCCATAACCACTGTGCTATGCCCTCCTTTTTTCATAGTAATTTCTATTTTCTGTATAATTTCCTTATTCCTATACTTATTATTTATTATACAGGGTGTCCCCAAAGTCTCCATACATAGGGAAAATGGGAAATTGTAGCTAAATGTGTTTATTTACAAAATATTAATTAATTTTTTTTACAAGACATTTACAAAATATTCTCTAAGGGTTGGCCACTTCTTGGTAAGAGTTTTTAATTTTTAGTCAGCTCTGTGAGAGTGGTCACCTGTGCATACTCTGCTCGCTGCCAGCCCTTCCTGTTGCCTGGTGTGTGGCCGGTGCTCATACCTTCTAGAATGAGCACCAGATGACCTTCAGCACTGCTAATGCTGAGGGCCCCAGGAACTGCCTGCCCCATGCACCTGCCTGTCCCCAGCCCTCTCCCTG